CAGAATTTCACAAATCCCTACCCTCTATAACCTCTCACCTTTAAGCCTATTTTGGATAACAATTTAATTTAAGATAAACAAAAATAATTGCTTTAAAACTTGAATTATTAAATGTAGTTTTCATTAAATAAAATACATTGTTTAATAAACTTTTTTTTTTAAATAAAAATATTTCAAATATTAATTTTTCGTAACTTCGATAAAAAATTATTTTATTGAATTTATACTTTAATAATTCTATGTCAATCATGTCTACAATTTTTTTTAAATAATTTTTATTAAATAGTTGACTATATAATTATAAAATTGTTTGATAAAAAATAAAACAGATATGCCCAACCAGTATCCAATTGAACCGGCTAAATTACTTTTATATTGTGATAGTGTTGTTAATTTTTGAATTTCTTTGTTATCAGCATTGGCTATAATCAATTTGTAATCATTTTTACAATTTCCGCTTTCTTTAAATAATAAATTACATTGTTTTTAATTATTGCAAATTTTTAAACAAGATTTTGGATAGTAATTTAATTTGATATATTCATCCATAAATGTTTTGTAACTTGTATTTATCAATTTTTGTTGTCATAGAATCAGTAATGCATTGCTTTATGCATTCATTATTCGATTCTCGATTTTTACATAAATTTCCAACTAATGATTTATAGTATGTTTCTATGCTTATATGATAATAAACATATAATGTGTTAATAATAAGTGTTATTTTTAAAATTTGGATAAATAACTTCATTTTTTTGGATAGTTATATAAAATTTGGATATATCTAATTACTTGAATATTTAAATGTTTATAGTTATTAATTGATACAATAGATTTTAGACTAGTTTTAAAAGCGTGATTTAAAAAAATCATATTTTTTATTGTCTTGATTATAAATATTAATACAATAATAGTCATCTAAAATATCGTATGTAACTGTCTTTGATAATTAATTTTGTATTTTACAATTAAAAACATTAAAGTTTTCCAATTATGCTAATTGTTTACTATAAGTAAAATTATCAAGATTTTCAATAATTATTTCATTATTCTACATTATCATTCACTGTTTTTGAATACAATCTATTGTACTGACTTATACAGTGATTATCGGGTAATATATTTTTATTTCTTAAATTCAATTATTATCAAAAAATTATTATTTATTTCTTTATAGTATCAATTACAGTTATTGTTTCATATTTTAAATAATCATATGTTAGGCTAATACAATCTTTATTTTTACACAATTTTCCAACTAATGATTTTAATATAATAAGCATAAGTAGTATCCGAATTATTTGTTTTAACAATGTGTATTATCCTTAAAATTTGGATAAATAACTTTATTTTTGTGATAGTGTTAATTTAATTTCTTGAATATTAAATTGTTTAAATTTATTAATGGAAACAATTATTTTAGTACGAGTTGCTAAAGCGTGATTTGAAGAAAATATTTTTATTACTTTTTTTTATAAATATTAATACAATAATTTTAATGTCATAAAAAGCAATATTAATCTGAAATATAAGCTTCAAATTATTATGACTATTGAAACACAATTTTATAAAAATATATTTAAATATATTTAGAAAAATCCATTGTATTCTTTTATGATGATCGTGTAAATATATTTTTATTTGTTAAATTAAATAATTATTAAAATAGATTATAATTTATTTTTTAGTTATTGTATTAATATTTTATAAAATAAATATAAAACCATTCCAATTAATATAATTTAATAAAAATTATATATTTTATTAATTTCTATAAAATATAAATTGATATTTGAATACTAGATATTTGAATTTTATCAACTATTTAAATAATTATATTAAATAATTACTACTAATATTAAATCTTATTAAGTAGATTATTGTTAACTATGACATAGAATTATACAATAACTATCTATGTAAATTAGTTGAATTATATTTATTATTGAATTTATTTGAAATTTTTCAAAAAACTAACAAATTATAATTATTAATTATTATATAAAAATTTATTTATTAGTTTTTTAGTTATCCGGTATTGTTGACAACCATGTTATTGTTGAGATGATATTTTATATGTTATTTTTTTCAAATGTATTCTAGGCGAATTTGAAATTCGAATTACGAAAAATTATTTTCCAGACACACAGACACTCTTTTAGATTTCTGTAAACAAAAGTTTGTTTGAAAAAAAACTATACAACAAATAAAAGCTATTTATATATAATTTTATAAAACAATATATTAGAAATAAAATTGCTATTTATCTATAATTTTTTTGTTTTATAAATTTCAAAATATATAACTTTATATACAAAAAAAATAAAAATAATTTTTTTGTCTAATCATTTAAGAGCATTAAAAAAACATTTTTTTTCAAAGTCTACTATAAGTTATAGTCTATAACTCAAAACAACAACAAAAATGCTTTAAAAAATTTTAAAGTCTATTAAAACAGTTTATCACTTAATTATATGTATAATCTGTAATGTTATGTAATGTTATGTAATTTCATGTATATATATATATATATATATGTGTGTATAATGTAAATATCAATTTATAGTATAGCATATTAATTATATAACAGTTTATACTACACTATATATATATATATATCGATATACTGTATATATATATATATAACACAAACAATTTTTAATGATTTAGTTTAAACTAAAAATTAAAAATAATATTTTTAATTATTTTACTATAAATAAAATATTTCAAAAAAAAATTATTCATAGTTTTCCTATTACTTACACTAGACTTGTGATAATACATATAACGGTTTTGGGTTTCGGATTGATTTTTTGTTTTGCTTTTTAATCTATAAAAAAATTCATAAAAATGTTAATATGATATTATTTTATAAAATATATTTTTTTAAAATTATTTAAATTATAAACAAAACAAAAATATTTTACTAATATAAACATTGAATTTAATTTTGAATATAATATTTATATAAATAAATTATTTTTTTTGTTTTAAAATTTAATTTTATAAAAATAATATATATATTAACAATATATATAAACTTTATATATATATATCGGTTTAGTTTTTATTTTTTTTTGTTATGAAAATGATTTCAAAACAAACAACAATAACAAAAAAGTTTTGAAACTTCAATTGAAAATTACAACATCACAGACAATAATAATAATAATAATAATAAAAGTAAAAATATATTTAAATCTCAAACAAACTAAACAAAACAAAAAAATTTATGCGATTTTTATTGTGCATAAAAACACATAAAATTTATATATATATATATGTGTGTGTTTGTGTGATGTACTGTACTATTATTATATGATATATATATGTATATATATATAGTATATATATTACTAGTATTATATGGTATATAATAATTTTTAACTGACACTAAACATATATACAAACATACATTGAATGGCAACTAATCTATTAATAGTTACTTTTAAAATAATATATTAGATATTTGTTGAATATATATATATATATATATATATATATATATATATATATATATATATATATATATTCTTCCAGATATTTGTCAGTCATTTAGTTAGTTATCTGACTGACTGAAAGAGAGAGAGAGAGAGAGAGAGAGAGAGAGAGAGAGAGAGAGAGAGAGAGAGCTATAGATAAGAGTTAGGAATCTGTGTCTTAAATATCACAAAATTTTTGTGTATTTTTTTGGGGCCTATTTTGAGACAGTTTTTTTTGAAAACAAATTAATTGTTTTTTTCACTGTATTGTAGTTTTAGTCTCTCTCTCTCTCTCTCTCTCTCTCTCTGTCCTCAATTTGATTAACACAATTGGTTACACATTATATACAGTATATACTGTATATACTGTATATATATATATATATATTAAAATTTTTTGTTCGTTAACTTAATTTAGTTATTTAGACAAAAAAATAGTATATATATATATAATCATATATATACTGTATATATATATATTGTATATCTAATAATTAACTATCAAAAAAACTAAATTACAATTAAATTTTGTAGAAAACAATAATAAGTTATTTAACTTTAAAAAAAACTATTTTTTAAACTCAAATTTTGTAAACAATTATTTTGGTATCAAAAAAATAAAATAATAACATAAAATAATAAAATTTTTAAACTCAATTTTATACATACAATTAAATATCGCTAGTGTTTAGTACTATAAATAGTTTCACAAATATTTTTCTCTCATTATATATATATATATCACTAAACCATAGAATTTTTCATTACATAAATTCATTGTATATATAATTATATATATATATATATATACAGTATTTACTATGAAAACTATGAAAAAAAATCACAAATTTTTTTTTGCTTACAAAACACATGAAAAACCACTTTTAAAACTGGAAAAAGTATTTAGTGTTCGCACATAACTGAAATATATGTGATATTTTTCCCGGAATATTCTGTGTATAGTAATTGTAATAATAATAATAATAATAATAATTAGTATAATAAGTATAAAGCAAAATAACTAAATAAATATATTATATAATTTTGTTTTTTTTAAATATTATAAATTTAAACATTAATATAATATTTATTATTATTTATAATAGTTATTAGTATACTATTTGAATCAACATTTATTGAATAAATTATTGATAATAATAATAATAATAATAATAATTAAAATAGTGTTTATATATTTATTTAATATTTAACATTGTTTTCAACAACAAAAAAACTGTTTTAGCATGGTTATTTTTTTCTGGTTTATATATATTGTTTGATATTATAATTATATATTTATAAAAATAATTAATTTAATTAATTAACTAATTATTATTATGGAGTATGAAAATAATGACAATATTAATAATAATAGTAATAATAATAATAATATTAATAATGATATGCCGGCCACAACATCATCATCAATGGCCGGCCCTATCAGCCGACCGGTATCGCCCATCGGCTCCGATGTTTGTTCAATGAGGCCTAACATAACATTAAAGGCCTCACAGATGAGTACCGGTTTTACTAACAATCCCGGATCGGTTAAGTCATATGCAACAAAAAATGGTTATTATTATTATTATTTAATTTAATATTAACTACTTATACATATATATATATATAGTATTTATTATTATATTAAATAAAATAAAATTAATTATTATTATAATTAATATATATATATATAATTAATATTAATTATAATAATTATTATATATATGATATAATTATCATTTAGTATACAGAAAAAATAAAATTATTTTTTAAGTAATTTAAAATCTAATAGTAAGAAAATAATTAATTAATTAATTATTATATACATGTATATAATATATAAACTAATTATAATTATCATTATTAATATAATTGTCATTTAGTATACAGAGAAAATAAAATTAATTTTTTTAATTAATTATTTTAAATTATTTAAAATCTAATAGTCATAAAAATAATTAATTAATTAATTATTATATACATGTATAATATATATATATATTAATTATAATAATTATTATTTATATACAGTATGATATAATTATCATTTAATATACAGAGAAAATAAAATTAATTTTTTTAATAATTATTTTAAATTATTTAAAATCTAATAGATCTAAAAATAAATAATTTAATTAATTAATTATTATATACATGTATATATATATATATCATAATTATATACTAAATAGCTCCTAAGCCACAATTGACCAGGGGCAAAAGTATTAAATTGGATTTTTTGGATAAAGAAAGTACATCAATGGATGAATTATGGGGTATATTATTATTATTATTTAATATTATATTAAATTATATATTTATTTATTTTTATAAAAAAAAAATTATAATATCTAATATACAAAATATTAATATATATAAATATATTTAAAATATATAACAATTATATTAAATTTATTAATTATTATTTAAAATATTATTATGCTAATTTTTTGTTTTTGCAACAATAAAACAAAATAATATTATCAATAATTTCATCATATATTGTAGACTTCATCTATAATATAATATTTTTATTTATTTATTTATTTTTTTGGTTTGAAATTTTTATATATATTATCTATATGTTGTAATCTGAAATATTTTTTTTAATAATTTAAATTATCATTATATATATATATAAAAAATGTTTTTTTTCTACCCAATAACTAAAACAATAAATATATGGTACAAACAATCACTTAATGTTACTTTAATATATATATAATATATTGCTAAAGTAGTCAATGGTTACTTTATATTATATATATATAACTAAATATATATATTATTATTATATATATTGATATATAAATTTTTGTGAGTCATTTTAATGTAATTTATTAATGTATTTATAAATATTAAATATTATATATAATATAAAATAGAGATTCTGATTAAATATATATTTTTTTGTGTATTATATATATATATATAATGTTATATTAAATATTATATATATATATTTTTTGTATATTAAGCCTAATATAATACTTGCATTTAAAAAGATTAAAATATTTGCTTTTATTTGTATTATAATAATACTATTAATACTACTACTATTGACAATATTTATAATAATAATATAAATATTGTAAATATACTATTATTATTAACATACAAATAGATATTTTTCCTATTATTATTGATGGTTTATATATACTGTATATAATATATATATATATACATACAATATATATATATATGATTTTTACTTATAAACTATTATCGATGATTGAACCTATTAATGGAAATTATTATTATTATATTAGCAAATAATATATTATATATTAGTTTTTTTTATTATTGATATTACAAGAATATTCTGTATATAATATTTAATATATATATATATATATATCAGTAAAAAAAACAAAAACAAAATTATTATAATTATATTATTACAGTATTATTAATAATAAGAAAAAAAACATGAAATTAACATAATATTTATTTAGTGTCTAAAATAATTATATTTATATAATTAATTAATTAATTAATTATTATTATTTATTTATAATAATAATGATAACATCGATGCAACTTGAAAATCTAGATAATAAAAACTATAATAATAATAATAATAATAATGATAATAATAATAATATTAAAAATATTAGTGGGACAGCCATTAATAAACGCCATGTCCACCAACACCAACAAAGCAAAAAACATTTTAACGATGCCATTGCATGTATGTCTCAATTATTATTATTATAATTATTTAGTTAAATTTATTAATATAATAATTTTTTAGTAGTAGTAATAATAATAATTATAATTATAGATAATATAAAATTAATTATTAGTAGATTTTAATAACTATAATATAAATTAATATATAAATGTATTCAATATATGTGTGTATAAAATGAGTTTAAAATTTTATTATTTATTTATTTTTTTGTTACCAAAAAAAATTAATTGTTTTTAAAATAATAATAATATATAATATATAATATATAATATATAATATATAATATATAATATATAATATATAATATATAAAATAAAATTAATTATTATTAGATTTTAATAACTATAATATATATTAATATATCTTCAATATATGTGTGTATAAAATGAGTTTAAAATTTTATTATTATTTTTTTTACCAAAAATAATTGTTTTAAAAATTGAGTTTTAAAAAAATCAGTTTTTTAAAAAAAACTCAAATAACTTTATAAATAAATTGTAAATAATAGTAAAACAGTAAATTATTTTATTGATAGTTAATTATTATATACAATATAAATAGTAAAGTATATAAAGAAAATAATTGAATGATATTTGAATATAACTTATTATATTTATATATATTTTTCACTTTAAAAAAATTAAGTAATAATTTAATATATATAAACAAATTGAGTTAGAAATTTACACACATTTTTTTTGTTGCCAAATAATAGCCACAAAAAAAATTTATTTGAATTTTTCTAACACTTTATTACTTTTCAAATATAAAGTATATATATTTTTTTTATTAAATAAATATGTTTTATAAACAATTAATATTTATTATTATATTTTATTTGTATTTTTAATCTTAATTTACTACAGTATATATATAGTTAACTAACAATATATATAATTTTATTTATTTATTTATATTTGTTTTTTTTAACTTTTTTTAAAAATATATATATATCTTTATTTAAATTAGTATAATTTTATTTTATTTTTAACAGTTTTAATCATTACTGCAAAAATCTAATTAACAATTTATTTTTATTTTGTAACTTTCATATATATATATATTTTTTGTTAAATATCATATCATATCAGATATATATATATATATTACTGTAAAATGTGTATACAATTTGTGTGAATCATTATACCCACTATCGGGAGTTAATGTGTTGTAAATATAGTTAAACAGAGAGAGAGAGAGAGAGAGAGAGAGAGAGAGAGAGAGAGAGAGAGAGAGAGAGAGTTAAAAAAAAGTTTTTAAACAACGATAAAAATCTACACAAAAACAAAATTACTTTCAAAATATAACAAAAATGCAATTTCACTATAATTTTATGATTTTGAAGAGGAAAACAGTGAAATCTATTTATATATATATATCGTATATACAGTATATATATAATAAAAATTTTTAACAAACATTACACACACACAGAAAACTATTTGTTTGTTTTACTTAGATATTGTACAGTATATCTATTATTATACTTATATACTGTATATATATATATATATATATATTGTATATTACTTGATATATATATATATATATATATATATATATATATAGTCTCTTATAGAGAAAGTCTATTATAATTTTAAGTTTTGTTATTAGGATTTTATATTATAAACTATAAAGTATTTGTATAAATAGTATAAATAGTTTTTATTTTGTTTGTAAAAATTTTAGTTTATATTACTTAAAAACAATTAAGAAAAATAAAATAATTTAATATATATTTAAATTAAAAATTATATACAAATTTTGTATATTTATTGACTTATATATATATATATACAGTATATACTAAAAACACTTATTATTATTTGCATATCTAATGGTATAATATACTAGAAAAATGTAATTAAAAACTTTTATTATAAATATATATAATACAGAATTTAATATAAAGTTTATATAAAGTTTATAATTACTAACAGTTTTTGACTTTTTTTATTTTAATTTTAATTAAAGAGTATTCATTCATTCATTAACTTTAATTTTGATGTCATTTAATATACCAAACAATTTTGTATTTGTATTATATATATATACAGTATTTAATATATATTATAATATATACAGTATGTGTTTGGATGACACCAATTGAAAATAAAACGACAGGTGCTATGAATATACTGTATATATATATATAATATAAGTGTGAAATAATTGTCACTTTTAAATACTTGTATTATATTTGCTCTATTGTTGACTATAGAGTGACACAACATTTTTTTGTCTGTCTGTCTAACTGTCTGTCTGTCTGTTTGTCTGTTTGTCAATCAGTTTTGCATTCATTCATTGAAAGTCTATTAAAGACTAGAAAAATAATTTCATATAATATACTGTATAACTAAATAAGTCTTAATTAAATTATTTTTGTTTTTTTTAATTTTATTTTTGGTTCAAATATAACACAATTAAACAGCAGGAAAATTTAATTTAAAAATCTAAATAAAATTTTGATACAATTTTTATTGGACCCCAGTTTTTTTTGTGGGTTAGGTATATATATATATATATATATTGATATATATATATATATATCGTATATACTGTATATCTACCACATCATTATCAATGATCATCACTAAGCGCTTATGTATGCGTAAAAATATTTTACCACATTATGTGTACAGTATGAATGTGTGTATGTGTGTGTATATATATATATATATGTGTGTGTGTGTGTGTGTGAGTGTGTGTGTGTGAGTATGTGTATGTATGTGTTGTGTGTGTGATTATGTGTATGTGTATATATATATATATATATATGTGTGTGTGTGTGTGTGAGTATGTGTATGTGTGTGTGTGTGTATGAGTATGTGTATGTGTGTGTGTATGAGTATGTGTATGTATATATATATATATATATATATATTTGCGATGAAATCAATCTCCTAAATGATGAATTCAGCACAAAAAATATAAATAAAAAAAATATCGAGAGATTATATAACACATAATAGTCAACTATAAGATAAGTTTCACTACAGTATAGTAACAAATACAATGAATTTTTATTGTTGTAGTTATTGACTACAAGTTTGCTTTTTTTAAAAAAAAATTACTAAAATATATATAAACAATATTATTCATTGTTTATATATATATTTGTATTTTATAATAAAACAAAATTAACGGCTACTTATCAGTTGTCAAAATCAATGTGTGTGTGTGTGAGTATGTGTGTGTATGTGTGTGTATGTGTGTGTATGTGTGTGTGTATGTGTGTGTATGTGTGTGTATGTGTGTGTATGTGTGTGTATGTGTGTGTATGTGTGTGTATGTGTGTGTATGTGTGTGTGTGTGTGTATGTGTATGTGTATGTGTATGTGTATGTGTATGTGTATGTGTATGTGTATGTGTATGTGTATGTGTATGTGTATGTGTATGTGTATGTGTATGTGTATGTGTATGTGTATGTGTATGTGTATGTGTATGTGTATGTGTATGTGTATGTGTATGTGTATGTGTATGTGTATGTGTATGTGTATGTGTATGTGTATGTGTATGTGTATGTGTATGTGTATGTGTATGTGTATGTGTATGTGTATGTGTATGTGTATGTGTATGTGTATGTGTATGTGTATGTGTATGTGTATGTGTATGTGTATGTGTATGTGTATGTGTATGTGTATGTGTATGTGTATGTGTATGTGTATGTGTATGTGTATGTGTATGTGTATGTGTATGTGTATGTGTATGTGTATGTGTATGTGTATGTGTATGTGTATGTGTATGTGTATGTGTATGTGTATGTGTATGTGTATGTGTGTGTAAGTGTTAAACGTTAGTATACTGTTTATGTGCCAAATAGTCACTTAGAAACTATTGATTGTATGATATATTTTTATATACATTAATAATTATTACTAAACAATAGAAATATTTATTAAATTAAGTTTTATTTTCTATTTAATATTTAGTTTAAAAATAATAATAATAATAATAATAATAATAATAATTATAATAAACTTAATACATTACCATACATTTTGTCAATTTTTAAAATTTAAATTAAACATTTAATATATTATTAAAACAAAATTTATTAAAAATAATATAGGAAATAATTAAGTTATTTGATATTATTTAGATGACTCTAATAATATTTAAAAAAAAACAATTAACTATCAAAAGTAAAGGTATAATAATTATGACAGTTTATAAATATAGTTAAATAAATAAAAAATAAATTTAGGATTAATTTATAAAAATTTATTATATTTAGTAACTATTAAATAAAATAGCATTTTATATATAATGATATTTTTAGTTCAAAAGTTAAAAAGTTTATAATAAATATATAAAATTTTAAATTAAAAAGATAATAATATAATATAAATCTAATTTTGCATTTTGAATAAAATATAGATTAATTAATTTAATTAATAATAGAGTAATTTGAATATATTGTAGATTAATATCATTTTTTTATTAATTAATTGCCTATTAATTAAATTTAAAAAAAATATATTTCTATAAATAATAATAATTTATTAATATAATATTTTTTAAATTTAAATAATTTTCATAAATATATTTATTGTTGTAAAAAATAACATATATATACAGTATATTTATATATATTATATTGATTTTATATTTTACTTATCTATTTTATATATATATTTGTTATTAGAAAAAAATGTTATAAACTTAATAATAATAATAATAATAGTTTTGTAAAGTTTAATAAACTTTTTGTGTTGTTGTTGTTATTATTGATAAAATATAAAAAAAATCCATATATTTTATGTATATATATAAATAATTTTGTATAATAACAATGATATTACAATATACTATACTATTGATATACAGGTATTAAAATAATATCTAACACATACACCCATTGGGTGCTAAGGTTTATCCCCTTAATATATTGTATATAACTGTATATATGTTTGAATGAGAGCACCGGTAGTTTGGTTTTATCAACAAAAACTGATTGACTGACTCCAGAGTCAGAAAACACTGTTTGCTTCGCTGGTCTCTCTCTCTCTCTCTCTCTCTTTCATACAAATACTGTATATATTGTAACCAAAGACAACCCACAAAAACGATACAAACTATCGACTAAATAGTCAGAGAGAGAGAGAGAGAGAGAGAGAGAGAGAGAGAGAGACAGAGAGAGAGAGAGAGACAGAGAGAGAGAGAGAGAGAGAGAGCACTGGTATTACTATTACTATTATTATTATCACAAACACATACATATCCTATCACTGCTTATGTATATACCGTACAGTCTATCTGTAGTACAGATTCTGTACAATAATATATATTTTTGGTATACTTTTCAATACAACAACAAAAAACCAGTAGTCATTGTTATGGGTTGTACTGTACATAACATAACATTATAACAGTGTATATACAGTATATATTATATATATAATATAACATTATATATAAGTGTGTGAGTGTATAGATATATATAGATATGTATATAAATTTATATTTATTATATAAACAAATATATATTTAAAAATATATCTATAAATATATATATATATATTTAAAAATGTGTCTCATTTTTATTATATTAATTTAAAGCACTTCAATGAGAAAATAATAATTTAAAAAAAAAATTTTTATATATAAACATTTCAAAAATAAAATTTGTTTATATTTTTTGTGTATATTATTGATACAAAATTTATCAATTTTTTTTTGTTGTTTGATATAAACCAGTAAAATATTTTTATTTTTAAATTTTTAATTTTTTGTCGAAAATGACATTTAGTTTGTTTTTATTTTATAAATTATACTAATAATAATAATAATAATAACATCATCATCATTACATTTATTGATGATTAATATCAAAATTGTTATTAAAAAAACATTAAAAATTGTTTATAATTTTTTTTAATTGCAAATTATTTTTAAAAAAATACATTTAAAAACTAATATATATTTATATTAAAATATTTTCTATAAAAAAAATTCTACTATTAATATTAAAAATCAAACTAATGTTTATCAAAAATATTAATTAATTAAATAAATATTTTAATAATTTAGATAATTAAAAACTCGATAATATTAATAAATACTATTAAATTAAATACAATAATATTTTAATAATAATAATAAAAATAAATATATTATGAACCACCTGGGTGAAAGTTGTTGTGTGTAAAGTGATAATGATTATACTAGTGTCTAGTAATTAATTAATTATTTTTTTTAAAATTAATTAATTAAAAAATAATTATATAATATGAGTGTAACAACAGGTAGTGGTGGTGGTGGTGGACATCCACCACATTATGGCCACCAATTGACTACAGCATCCAAAGATCCTAAGCTATCCTTTCATAGCGATGATGAAGGTTTGGGTGATTGAAATATAAAAATTAAAATTTATTTAATTAAAATTAATTATAACAACAAAAAATAAAATAATAATAAATTATGTTATAGTTTTTTTCCCGTAAATTTTTTAAAAATCAATATATATATATATATTTAATTTATTTTTTTTTTTGATTAAATAAATTAGTAATTTATAAAAATATTTTTTTGATTAAACAAATTAGTGATTTATGAAAATATTTTTTAAAAAAATTATTGATTTTATTAAACAAATTAGTAATTTATGAAAACATTTTTTTGTTTATAAATTATTGATTTTATTTGAATTCCGATAATATGTTTATTAAATGTTGATTTTTTTTCCTCTCATATATATTAATATATTATAATAAATATTTTTATATATTATTATTATATATATATAAATTATATTTATTATATTATTTGCTTTCAATATATAAATTATATTTATTATATTATTTTCAGTAAATATATAATTTTGTTGTTGTTGAATAATTTTATCAATATTTATAATATAATTATTTATAATACTATATGAATAATATTTATTAATGAATTAATAAACTAATAATAATATTAAACTAATTATTGAATGAAAATAATAATTATTATTATTATATACAGTATTTTTTATATGACTAAAATCAATTAGTGTAATGTAATTGTATTTTTATGTAATTTTTTTGTTTGCAAATACATTACAAATGTATTAAAATAACTATTTTAATAACTATTAAAATAACATTATATAATACTGTATAATATTAGCAATAATAATATAATTATTATTATTTTTAGAAATCTTATATTTTAATAAATAATAAAAAAATTAGAATTTATTTATATCTCACAAAAATATATATTTAAGTAATTTTTAAAAAAAAATTATTTTTCTACATTTATAATGATAAATTATCAACTAATCAATTATCAAAATATAATTGACACAATTTGGCTGTCATAACAATTTAAAAAAAAAAAAAAATAATTTAATACTATTTATAAAAATGCAAATATTATTTTATTGATTATAGTTGTTTATGTTGTGTATAAACTAATTAAATTTATTATTTTTATTTATTTTTTTATAAAAATTATAATATATTTAATCATATGATGTGTTATTGTTATTGTTAAAAAAACTATAAAATTATATATATTAAAAAAAAATTATTTATTTTTTTAAAAAAAGCTAAACACAAAACCACACAAACAATAACTTAATAATAAATTTTTATTGAATAAAATTTCTATTGTTATTATATGTGAATGAAATTAAATTAATATATAATTCTATAGTTATTATATATACTATTGTATTGAAATATATATTATATTTATATATATATAATATAAATCCAAATATTCTTTAATACAATAGTATATAATAATATCTATAGAATTATAAACTATATTAATAAATATATACATAATAAGTATGATAATTGAAAATCACAAAAATTTTAACTTTAATTTTTTTTTGTTAATTTTTTTTTGTTAATTTTTTGTTTGTCTATCTATCTAACTGTCTATCTAACTGTCTATCTGTCTATTATAGCAACAGTTGGCGAGAGTCCAGGTCTCTGTGCATTTCTATTGACAGTCATCTCTGTGATACTAATCATTGTCACTCTGCCCTTCTCATTGTTTCTATGTATTAAGGTATGGTATGTTTTATATACTGTAATAGAGAGTAACTGTGCCCAACATAATACAGTAATAATCATCAGCATCCCTGTCCACATATTATAATATTCCCCCATTCTCTATAACAATTGATTTTTTTTTGGCATCTCATATAAACAAACATGCACACATATACACACATACACATATACACACATACACATATACACACATACACATATACACACATACACATATACACACATACACATATACACACATACACATATACACACATATACACACATATACACACATATACACACATACACATATACACACATACACATATACACACATACGCATATACACACATATACACACATATACACACATATACACACATATACACACATATACACACATATACACACATATACACACACACATACATACATACACACATATACACACATACACACACATACACACATACATACACATACACACACATACACACACATACACATACATACACATACATACACATACATACACATACATACACACACATACACACATACATACATACGGATATATTATTGGATATAGAAATCTGTCTAAAACTGTATTCCCATCCCTTTTCCTCCTCAAACCGATCCCTTTCCTCATTACACAACAATTTGAAACATTTTATTTTGCGGTTACATTACTTGATTGAAACGCTTCCCACACACACACACACACACACACACACACACACACACACACATCACTCACATTATTATTGATACATAAAATTAGTTTCAAATTTATACAGTATTTTGTCACTTACTTTGATAAGACACTTATCTTTCACTTTTTATTTTTAATTATTCAAAAATAAAATAAAAATAAAGTACTTAATTATATACTGTATATACAATATAAATATGTTTTTATTTTACTTATATTAATAATAATGCCTATTATTATCATATTATATATATATAGCATAATAATTTAATAAACCATTGTTTGTTTTAGCACACAATTAGTTTTTCAAAAGTGAAAATATTCAACAAAAAAACAATTAACTGTTAATTAGCACTTAATTTTTAATTATTTAGTTAATTAACTCTAGTGTGTGTGTGTGTGTGTGTGTGTGTGTGGGTTTATAAACTAAAATTTTCATATTCATACCCCAATAATTAATGATAATAAATAAATAACACAAAGTTCAACTAATAATACAGTATTATATAAACAATTTTATAAGCAAAAAAAATTTCAAACTTTTAAAATAAACATTTTTTTTGATAAACAATTTATTATATATATATAAAGATATAATACAATAATAATAAACTATATATATATATATATACAGATAAAAAATTAATAAATTTTTATATACATTGACTATTATTATTATTATTCCTAACTATTATTATTATTTTAAATTATTATTATTATTATTAACTATTATTATTATTATTATTATCTATTACAGGTAGTACAGGAATATGAGAGAGCAGGTAAATCAATAAAAAAATTTTTTTATTTATTTATCAAAAAACAATAAATTAATAAAATAATATCAATAATTAATTTATATATTTTATTTTATATTAACATTTATCTATCAATATTTGTTTTGTAATTTATTTATTTATTCAATTATTGTTTAATTTTTTTTAATAGTTATATTCCGATTGGGTCGTCTAGTTAGGGGTGGCGCCAAGGGACCTGGCATATTTTTTATAATACCATGTATCGATTCATATTGCAAGTAAATAATAATAAATAATAATAATATATTAAATATTTTTTTACAAAAAATTAAAATTATAATAGTATACTGTATATAAAATTTTAATTTTTGTTGTTGTTGTTGTTGTTGATAATATGATAATTTAATTTTTTACTGTTTTATATATATACTTATAGTATTTTTATCTAATTATTTTATTTTTTTATAAATAGCATAATATAAATTTTGATGAAAAAATAATAATTTTGTATAAATTAATTGTTTACAGTGATATATATATTAATATAATTCAAAATAACATTATATTAAATAATAATAATAAAATAAATTAAAAATTCATTTTATTTATCAGTTATTATTTATTTATTTTTATATCAATTTATAATAGACACTACTGATAAACAAAAAATTTATTTTATTATTATTATTATTATTTAATATTATGTTATTTATTTTAAACTGAATTAATATATATATACTGTATATATATATATATATATATATCAATTCAATTTCAATTTCATTAAAAAAAAACATGATTATCATAAAACTGTATAAATGAAAAAAAATTATTAGCATTATATAATATATTATAAAAAAAAATTAATTATTTAAATTAAATTTTATTTTATTTTTTTGTTTGACAAAAAATAGGGTTGACTTACGAACCGTTAGCTTTGATGTACCGCCACAAGAGGTATATATATATATAAACTTATTATATATCCTATAAATATTATAATTTAATTATTTAAAAAAAAATTAATTTAAATTTTTTTTTAATTCAAAATTAGATATTATCTAAAGATTCAGTTACTGTTGCCGTCGACGCCGGTATAGTATATAAAAACTTTTTAAATTAATTAAAAAAAACTTATTAATTATTATTATCATTGAAAACAACACCAACACCGGGGGACAGTCGTCTACTATCGGATAAGCAACGCAACGGTTGCGGTCAGTAATGTCGAAGATTATGGCCGCAGTACTCGGCTGTTGGCGGCGACAACATTGCGCAACGTTTTGGGCACCCGTGACTTGGCTCAGATACTTAGCGAAAGGGAGTCCATATCGCATATGATGCAGTCATCCTTGGATGAGGCAACTGATCCATGGGGTGTCAAAGTGGAAAGGGTCGAAATGTATGTCCATTTTCATATAACAAGTAGTATGACCACCACACACACACACACACCCACCAACAACAAGTATAGGTGTCTAGATTGGGGGAAGGGAGAGAGGATAGGGGGTGTTAGATTACAACTACTATACCTGATGTGTCCAAAAGTTTTTTAAAAATTTTTTTTTAATATAAGTGATAATAAAAATTTCTATTTATTTAATTTAATATATATTTTATATATCTTTTTTGTTGTTGACTTGCATAGAGATTAAACATCAAAAAATTATTAATTAATTAATGATATTGATATATATATTAATTATTAAGTATAAGTATAAGTATAATATTAATTATTATATATGTATATATAATTAATTTAATTTTTAATATTTAGTTAGAATTTTTTTAACATCAAAAACAAAAATATAATTAGTTTTAAAAAAATTATTTATATATAACTAATATTATATATATATATACAGTATTAATACATTATTAAACAATTTAAAGGTCACACTATTTTTTTCATTTATAATATATCTAATGTTTATTTTTTTTGTTTAATTACAACTATTATTAATAATTATTAATAAAATATTAATTCATATATTTATACAGAAAAGATGTCAGACTACCCGTCCAATTGCAACGGGCAATGGCTGCCGAAGCCGAGGCCGCCCGCGAGGCCAGGGCTAAGGTTATAGCAGCCGAAGGCGAACAACGGGCTTCGCGGGCACTGAAAGAGGCGGCCGATGTCATAGCGGATACACCGGCCGCTCTGCAGCTCCGGTATCTCCAGACACTCAACTCGATTGCGGCCGAAAAAAATTCAACCATTGTTTTCCCGGTACAGTAGTAGTAGTTATTTATAATAATAATTATTATTTTGCTGTTAATTATTATAATTATTATTATTATTATTTTAGATACCAATGGACTTATTCAAGGGTTTCCTAAAACGCGAGGAAATAGCTTCAAGAGCCTCATAATTACCTATTAATATATATATATATATATATATATATATATATATATAATATTTAATATATATTTATATATATATAATATTTAATATATACTATATATATATATAATATATATTATATTATAATATTTAAAATTTAAATTTTGGATATAAAAGCACACAAACAAAGCTAAACAACACAATTATATTTTATAAAATTAAAATTTTTTTAATTATAAAAAATCAATAATTTTATTATATATATATATATATAATTAAATCATTCAGTTATAATTGTTTACATATATATATATATATATATATTTGATTTCTATATGTGTTTGTTATTAATTAAATAAAAAATACATCCAAAGTATAAGTTTTGTGACTCAAAAAATTAATAAATATTAAAAACACAATTTTTTTCACTAATCATTGTTTATAATTATACAAACAAAACAAATAAATTATAATATTTAGAAAATAAAAATCAAAAATCATTTTTCAAAAAAAACATTATATATATATTAATAATATTTATATTTATCAATAAATAATTGTTAAGACATTTGAATATTTTTTTGTTGTTGTTATTGAAAATTATTACAAATATTAATACAAATTAAAAACTTTCTATACTTTTTCAAAATTCAAATTATATATATATATAATTTTTTTAAATATAATAAAAATTCAATAATAATAATAATTTTAAATAAATATAAATATCTATAAAATTATATTAAATCAATTATTATTACATAATATAAATTTATATTATATTAATATAATAATTATAATAATAATAATAATAATCAAGTAATATATCATTATTTTTCAAAAAACATTGTGAAAATTAATTTTATTTGTGAACATAAAAAAAACATATGTATTAAATATTATTTATTATTTGCAAACAAAAAATAATATGTTTTTTGTGGTATTGTTTTTGTTGTTGTTATTATTGAATAAAATATCAATTTAATTGTAAACTAATAATTATAATTTAATAATATTTAAATAATCTAATAATTATAATTTAATAATTATTTTTAAAAATTATAATTAAATTATTATAATTACTAATATATAAAATAATAAATATAATTATTTAAATAATAATAATAATTATATATAAAATTTAAACAACTAATTAATTTAACATTTTTTAAAAACAAATTTTTTTAAAAAAAACTTTAAAATATTACAAAACAATTTTTAAAGATAACAATATAATAATAATAATAATTAACAACAATATAGTAGTTAGGTTCAGGTGGGCAGCACCTGTATCACCTATACTACTGGCCACTAACAATAACATATCGGCAATTTTATTGGCCGATCCATTGTTGGCCTCGGCCGGTAGTCCGAGTAGACGGCAAATCAGGTTGTAATGGTCGACCATATCTAACGGTTCCGCTAAGGTATAGTTACGGCGAAATGCCGGTCCAAACCCGTACATAATGGCCCGTATGTCCGGATTTGTATCGCTATCGTAGCCGTGAGCGCCGGCCAACAACATCGGTACCCGCCGTCCGTCCGATTCGGTATATACTTTGCGGTCAATGTTTGGCTATTAAATATATAATGTAATTAACAAATATTAGTAATATATTTATATTTAATTATAATAAATTTATATAAATTATAATAAATTTATATAAATTATAATAAATTTATATAAATTATAATAAATTTATATAAATTATAATAAATTTATATAAATTATAATAAATTTATATAAATTATAATAAATTTATATAAATTATAATAAATTTATATAAATTATAATAAATTTATATAAATTATAATAAATTTATATAAATTATAATAAATTTATATAAATTATAATAAATTTATATTTAATAATATTTTTTAAAAATTATAGATATTTACTATTATATAAATAAAAATAATATATAGTTTTTAAAAGCAATTATTATCTGTTATTAATTATATTAATATAAGTAATAAAATAAAAAATATTTTTATTTAAAATTATTAAAAATGATTTTTTTTATGACAATATATTATATTTAACTGTAATATATAACTATACATATAATCTATAAAAAAACATAAATTTTTATATTGATTGACACAATCAATTTGAATAATTATTATTATGATATTGAATATCTAATACATTTATAACTACTAACTTCTAATTTATTATATTACTGTATGCATGTATAGTAAACCCTATATAACTGTATTACAGTTTTTAATAATAATATTTATTAATTTAAAAAATTAATTATATTTTTAATTATTATTTTAGATCTCTATAAATAATACTATAAATTAATAGATCAATAGCTAAATGATTAAAGTATTGTTTTGTTTGTTTGAAATATTTAAGAAATTAATAATAATTTATTAATAAATAAATAATTTATTAAATAACAGTTTGGAAAAAAAATATATTTTTAATTATTATTTTAGATCTCTATAACTAATACTTAAATTAATAAATCAATAGTTGAATGATTTTTTTTTAAATAATTTTAAAAAATTAATAATAGTTTATAAATAAATAAATAATTAATTAAATAATAGTTTGGAAAAAATTATATTTTAAATTATTATTTTAGATTTCTATGAGTAATATTTAAATTAATAAATCAATTAAAGTATTTTTTTTGTTGAAATATTCAAAAACAAAAAAAATTAAAAATAATTTATTAATAAACACTTAATAATAATATATAAATTTAATAAAATTAATTTAATTAATTAAATTTGATTTACAGGTATCATATAATAGCCGACATCGACTGTAATCAATAGATAGAAAACCATTGGATTATTATTATTATTATTATTATTATTATTATTATCATTATTATTATTATTATTATTATTATTATTATTATTATTATTATTATTATTGTATTTGTAATGCAAGCGCTCCGGTATGTCATCCGGTTTATAGACATTAATACCATTGATTTTTGATAACTTTTCAAACAACTAGATATCCCAACAATAAAACAGAAATTAAAAATCATATTAAAAATTAATTAATAAATTAACTAAAAATATGACCTCATTTTCAGTGCCCAGTTTCGGTAGAATACGGGCACCGGAACCGCTACCCAAAAACAATTGGACACTACTATGAAAATCTATTGATTCATTCAAATAGATTAGTCGATAGCCAGAGGTTTGAGTCATCCCGTGATCGGATACTATCATAACGTTGACCCGATTGGCCAAATCAAGCCGTTTCAGGTCATCAAACAACTGGTCGACTATGGAATCGACGTCCCGTACGGCTGACCATAGTTCAGGACTTTCTGGTCCGTATGTGTGTCCTAATTGATTGAGACCACAAAAAAATAAATATTATTCAAAAAATAATTAATTAATTATAATTTTTTATTTTTTGTGATAATTTTGCGAATTATTATTAATTATAATAAATATTTTTTTTTTGAATTATATTAATAAGTTTATAGTTTAATTTTTTTTTTTTAAAATACTATTAATAATAATAATAAATGTTATATTTAATTATAAAATAATAAAATGATAATTTCTAATAATGTATTAAATATTATTATTATTATATGTAAACTCATTGAAATTTATAATTAATTAAAAATTAATATTGATAGTATAATTTATATATATATATATATATATATATTAATAGATATAATAAAATAAAATTATCTATTTTTGAATTTATTTTAAAAAAAAATCTATTTTGTATTACAGTTTTGTTTATAAAAAAACAATAAAAATAAATTTTTTTTAAAATAAGCAATTAATAAATTAATAATAAATTATTTATTTATTTTTATAGATTATATTATATCCTACATACAAATTAAAACTTATTTATAAATATTTAATACATATATTATTATAATTAATTAATTAATTAAAATTATAATAATTATTATTAACTAAAATTATAATTATTATTATTAACTAAAATTATAATAATTATTATTAACTAAAATTATAATAATTATTATTACAGTCACTAACCTATATAATCGACAAATTCATGGTATAGTAGTGCCAATTGATAGCTATTATTAGCGGCAAAATTGTCCAAAATTTCCCGTACATACTGACGGGTCTGATTGGCGGCGGCAGAGGCCGCGGCGGCCACTGGATGGTCGCTATCGGTTCCGATCGGCCGATACGGTTGACAGTAGCTAACCGTTACGTTATCAATGCCCGGTTGACACCCGTCCCAGCCGTACATAGCAGTTGGTCGACCGTTTTTTTCGGCCGTAATCCATACGGGCTGTACCTCCTGTGGTGACCACCGCCATCGCCACCGCCAGTGACCATCTTTCGAAACGTTCGGGTAGTTCGGTAGTTGTCCCATCGGAAACAGGTCACCGTCGGTTTCCCGGTCATCAGCATACATATGGCCGTAATTTTCGGGATAACGTCCAGTGAAGATAGCGTACCAATTGGGATAAGAGTTTTGCGGGAATATTGGCCGTACATACGGTGCCCGAACACCGGCTGCGGCCACTCGACTAAATCCCCCGCCGCCGCCGGCGCCGCTATCCGTGAGTTGGTCGGCATAATCCCAGCGGAAACCGTTCACTAGTATTATCAATAGTTTTTCGGGTGTCGGTGTTGTTGTGTTGGCCACCACTGGTATTACCGCAGTTTTGGCCAACTGTCCGCCGCTATTGCCGCAGAAACTGATGGCCACTACTAGTGATCTATCGGTTGTTTTTGAATATAACAACAATAATACTAATTGAAATTCAATTAAAAGTCTATACATTTGTTGAAACATTTATTTTATTATTTATTTTTGTTGTTATAATTAGTTATAAGTTATAATAAAATTATAAATTATTATTATTATACTGTAATTATTACATAAATATGTAAAATAAAATTGTAAAACAATAGATAATAATAATAAATATAATAATTATTTTTATTAAATTTATTTATTTTTTAAAAACATTTTTCACTAATTTTCATAATCAATATATAGTATTAATATTATAATAATACTGTAATTATTGTTAACTATTATTTAAAAAAATATGTTAAAAATATATAATTTTTTTTATAAATAATAATATATATGTAATAAACATGTAATAAAATTTCGACAAAAAAATGTTTATAACAATAGTTGATATTATTGTATAAAATTCACAATAAATTATTATTATTATTATACGATAATCATTATGTACTGTATTATAGTAAATAAATAAATAATTAATTATTTTTTTTTATAAAAAAAGTGCTTTTAATTTTGTTATTATTTGTATTATGTTATTTGTTATAGTTATTAATATAATAATTTATTGAAATTATTTTTAGTATATATTGTTATTAATTGTTAGTAATTGTTAGTAATATTTTATAATTTATTATTATTATTATTGCAACAACAAAATAATAAATTATTATTATTATTATTTAAAAAATACTGTAATATCTATATTATATATATATATATATTTGATATAATACTTGTGTCTATTATAGTTCAATATAGAGTATAAATAATTAGATTTTAATTTAAATATTATTATTATTATTATAGAATTATAGTAAAAATTATATTTTCATTTAAGTTATAAATAATATAATAAATACTAAATTATTTTATTATATATTTTATTTTATTTAATTAAAAAAATACTTGTATTATATATGTTTATATACTATATATATATAGTATATAAACATATATATAACAAGTATTTGTTTTTTAATTAAATAAATAACATTAGCACCCCTGTAATTTAATTTAATCATTTTGATAAATTACAGGGGTGCTAAAAAAATTTTTTTTTAATCAATTCAAGCTAAATAGTGATAATTATATAGAGTTTATATATATTTTTTTATTTATATATTATTAATATCATTGTATAGCATTTAATTTGTTGATTAAAAATCAATGATGATGAAATTTAAATGTAATTTTTTTTAACATTATTATTATTATTTGTTTTTTAGTTATCAATTTATATAAATTAATAATAATAATAATAATAATAAAACTACTAATACTACCTAAAAATAGATACGATATATTTATTTGCAAAAAAATACTTCAAACAGCTATCAATAGCATCCATAGGTAATATAATATTTATTTTATTTTTTTATCAATTTTTATATCACCTATTTTTTTAAGTACATTTACTATACTATAATAATTTGTAATTTTATTATTGAATAATATATTAAATAAATACTGTATACAGTATTACTTATTATATATATATTACATTATATATAAATACAGTATATATATATATATTAACACTTAATTATATATATATATATATATATATATATATATATATATATATATATATATATATATCAATAATACTTCACACTTATATAGACACTGTATTGTATTAATAGACAATAAAATAAATTAATATTATATTAAATATTATAATAATTTTTTAGTTTTAAATAAATTAGTTTTTTATATTTTACGGCAATTTTAAAATATGCCAAAAATATCTACCGATATCACTACTAGTGGTCACCACCATTACCGACGGGACTCGTTTGACCGGTTCGGCGATGATCTCTGTCCACTAGTGTTAGCTTATCTAACATTTGACGACCGATTTCGCTACGAATGTGTGGCCAAACAGTGGCGTCGATCGGTATTCACTGGACAAACACGGCTATGGATTGGCCGTCAATTCAATAGTAAACTATTGGTCGCCGATCAACACAATCACCATCACTGTCCTCGGCTGCGGCGGCGGCGACGGTCATCGTCGCTAAATTTGGCCACATTTGAGTTAGTACTACGCAAGTGTCCCAACATTGAGTTTGTCCATATGTTTTGCCGGTTGACTACCGAAGCCATTGATTTGCTAATCAAATATTGTCATCATTTACGGGGTTTTCAGGTCAGGTCTTAATTATATATATATATATATATATATATATATATATATATATACTGTATATACTATAACTGTATTAATTAATTAATTAAATTATTAATTATTATGCTAAAAATATTTTTATATATAAAAAATTATTAATAATTTCTAAATTTAAAAAAATAAACAAATTTTTATAAACTGTTTAATCTATTAAAAACTGTTATAAAAAAAAAGTTTTAAATATAAAAAATTAACTTTTAATTTATAGGTTATTTGACTACTATTACTACTTAACTAAAAAAAAACCTAAAAACATATAAAATTATTTTTTTTGAATATAAATATCTAAATATTTATATTCAATTAAAATTTAATATAACAATAAAAATCATATAAAAATAAACAAATTTAAATAACAACAAAAATTATTAAATAATATTTAAATAGTTTATATAAAATATATAATTTATAATATATTTATAAAAGTTATTTTTAATTTAATTAAAATATTATTTTTTGTTTTATTTGATAGATCCGTATCCATCGTATGTCCGATCTGTCCGTCGATACTGTCCAACAATTTTGCCAAAAATATGGCCAACAGTTAACATATATGGAAATATGTGATACACATTATTACCGATATTGTCAGCTAAATGTCGATATTGAGCGCCGATTACCGATGTTTGTCAATCTCGAGGAAATACATTTCCGATCCTATTATTCAAATCCAATGTTTTCGCTAGTCTTCACTGACACCGACACCGACAACAACACCGGCACCGATACCAACACCGGCGCCGACAACAAAACAGTTAACATTTTCGGTAAACTACGTAAACTATCGTTAACTTATACGCTGAACGATACGGAAAGGTTTACCCGATTTGCTGCCGACAGTCTATACGGCCAACAATTGCACGGAATTCACGTAACAATTGATGAATGGCTGTATGAAAACAGCCAACAAATCGGTAGACTGTTTGCTAGTTTAGCTAAATTTAGGCGATTAGTTGACCTCCGGGTGGAAACTAGTAGTACACTGTTCGAGGATATCAGTCTAATGGTGGCCACGGGTCTGAAATCGATGGCCAACGACGGCTCAAGAGGACGAGGAGGAGGAGGAGGACTACCGAAACTAAAACGACTGGCCATCAAGTTTGGTAGTAATCATCAGTCAAAACATGGCAACTATTTGTATAGTAATGCGGCAAATATGTCGACAGTTATTCAAGCCATAAACGATAACTACCGTCACCTGAAACGGCTAATATTGGCCAAAAAGTTTATGGCCGACGATAGCGACGATGACGCCGACGCCGATGAGGACAATGATAACCAATTAGCTGACGGCTATCCCAATGATGTAGTCATTGAAGAGGAGTCGGCATTTGTATTGACCGACAAATCGTTATGTAATTTACAGCAATTAACTCATCTGTCGGTCAGCAGCGACGGTAATACACTGGCCATTAGCGACCAATTTTTCCGTACATTACCCGTAAATCATTGTCGGCTACAGTGTCTGTCGTTAGCGTCGGTAAACTATTATCAGTTGATTGACAATCGGATGGCCGAGTCGTTTGAACCATTGAAACACAGTTTACGATCCGTCCGATTGACGGTCAGTTCGGAAACATTTACGAAACAATTTGCTGACCAAATGTCTACTACGAAAAAAGTTACGGAAAGTTTACAAAAATGTTTACCAAAATTGACAGACATTGAGATTAAATATAGGAATAAGAAATTTTAATTTAATTATTATATATATATATAAAGTTTTTTTTAATTAAAAAATGTTTTTTATATATATTTAAAATTTGAGAAAAATTAACTTTTTTTTATTTACAAATATTAACTTTGATATATTTTTTTAAATATAAATATTATTTAATTAAATTATATTTACATTATATACTAAAGTATAAAATAAATTACTTTTTTTTAAGTCAAAAAAAAAAGTTATATTAGTTGTGTAAACATAACTAAATATTATTATTTATAATTATTTATAAGTAAATATTGACCAAAAAATAAATAAATATTTCAATGTTGTTACTAATTATTTATTAATTTGAAATTAATTACAAATTTTTTAAAAAAAATTAGTAACAGTAAATATAATAATTATTTACATATTATAAATTTTTTAAATTTTGTTAATTAATAATAATAATTTATCAATAATGTTATTAAATATTTTTTAATAAATTAATTTATAATTTTGTTTTTTTTATAAAAAAAACTGTATAAATATATATACAACACAATCACTGTATGCCACCAAATCTTTTACGGCAATCCTAAATAATAATAGTTTTTATATATTTATTTAAAATAAATAATTAAAAAGCAAACAAACAATCAAACAATTTTTTATAGCAATAATAATTATAAATATATGTATTATATATTTCTATTGTATTTTCTATATATTGTATATATATTAATATAACACAAACATTAGTAATAATAATATGATATTTTTTATAATTAATTGATTAATTAATTTTAATAAATTAATATATTATTACTATTACTATATATTAGGTAATAATAATAATACTACTACTACTACTACTACTACTACTACTACTACTACTACTACTTCTATTATTATTATTATTATTATTATTATTATTATTATTATTATTATTACTATTACTATTACTATTATAGAAAAATTAAAAAAACAACCAAAAAAATCAATCTAAAAATCTATAATTTTTTAATATTTTTTTTAAAAAAAAATCATCCCTTAAAATTAAAACATATACTTACAATAACACCGGTCATCGACTGGGTAAACCTGGTCCTACCATTTTCAATTTCCAATTCAATTTGCAAATGTTTGCTTGTTTTTAGATAATCATCTTTTTTCCGATTAAAACAATTGATAAACGATTCGGAACATAGATCTAATAGATTTGATTTCATATTTTTGATGGTTAGATCAACTTGGGTATAGGTGCTGACTGTTTGACCCAGGCCACTAGTAGTAGTACATTCATCTTCAAATTGGGACATCTATATTTTTTGGGGGGGGGGGGGGGGGTGGAGGAATGGGGGGTGTGTGGTGGGGATGGAAGGATCGGGGGGGGGGGGGGTAAAAATAAATTTACAAAACATATATTAGTATACTAACATCTAACATATACTGTATATATATATATATATATAATATAAATAAATAATATATACTTTCTATATATATATATACAAGTATATAAAAATAATATATAGTTTTTATATATATATATATATACAGTATATAAATAATAATATATATTTATAGTTATACAATATATATATATATATATATATATAGTTTCTATATAAATATAAATAATAATATAATACTTTTGTTTTCCATTGTTCATAATAGTCAGTCGATTGCAATTTGTTAACCAACTGTTGTTTGCAATTAATATATTTAATAACTAAATCTGTATTAACCCTATCGGGTGAACACTTTGTTTTCACGGGTGTTGTGGTAGTAGTAGTACTGGACTGCGGGACCCGTTGTGTTGTCGGCCCAGTATTACTGGACTGCGGGTCCCGTTGTTGTGTTGTCGATGCAATAGTACTGGACTGCGGGTCCCGTTGTGATTGTTGTGTTGTTTGCGCAGTAGTGCTGGACTGCGGGTCCCGTTGTTGTGTTGTCGGCGCAGTAGTACTGGACTGCGGGTCCCGTTGTTGTGTTGTCGGCGCAGTAGTACTCGACTGCGGGTCCCGTTGTTGTTGTGCTGTCGACGTAGTAGTACTGGACTGCGGGTCCCGTTGTGATTGTTGTGTTGTTTGTGCAGTAGTACTGGACTGCGGGTCCCGTTGTTGTGTTGTCGATGCAGTAGTACTGGACTGCGGGTCCCGTTGTAATTGTTGTGTTGTTTGTGCAGTAGTACTGGACTGCGGGTCCCGTTGTTGTGTTGTCGATGCAGTAGTACTGGACTGCGGGTCCCGTTGTAATTGTTGTGTTGTCGATGCAGTAGTACTGGACTGCGGGTCCCGTTGTTGTGTTGTCGATGCAGTAGTACTGGACTGCGGGTCCCGTTGTAATTGTTGTGTTGTTTGTGCAGTAGTACTGGACTGCGGGTCCCGTTGTTGTGTTGTCGATGCAGTAGTACTGGACTGCGGGTCCCGTTGTAATTGTTGTGTTGTCGATGCAGTAGTACTGGACTGCGGGTCCCGTTGTTGTGTTGTCGATGCAGTAGTACTGGACTGCGGATCCCGTTGTTGTGTTGTCGATGCAGTAGTACTGGACTGCGGGTCCCGTTGTTGTGTTGTCGATGCAGTAGTACTGGACTGCGGGTCCCGTTGTTGTGTTGTCGATGCAGTAGTACTGGACTGCGGGTCCCGTTGTGATTGTTGTGTTGTTTGCGCAGTACTACTGGACTGCGGATCCCGTTGTAGTTGTGTTGTCGGCGCAGTACTACTGGACTGTAGGTCCTGTTGTGGAGGTGTTGTCGGCGCAGTAGTACTGGACTCTGGATCTGTTTGCTGATCTGATTGTTGCTCTGTTTGTTGGTCTGTCTGTTGGTCTGACTGTTGGTCTGACTGTTGATCTGTTTGTTGGTCTGTTTGTTGGTCTGACTGTTGATTTGATTGTTGGTCTGTTTGTTGGTCTGATTGTTGGTCTGTTTGTTGGTCTGACTGTTGATTTGATTGTTGGTCTGTTTGTTGGTCTGATTGTTGGTCTGTTTGTTGGTCTGACTGTTGATTTGATTGTTGGTCTGTTTGTTGGTCTGTTTGTTGGTCTGACTGTTGGTCTGACTGTTGGCCTGATTGTTGATATGATTGTTGGTCTGGTTGTTGGTATTGATATCCGTATGGCTGTTGATATGGCTGTTGGTATGGCTGTTGGTATGGCTGTCCGTATGACTGTTCGTATGGCTGTTGATATGGCTGTTGGTATAGATTTGGCATAAAATTAAAATAACCATGTACCATTATTATATTAGTTGCATAATTAGCCAGCACAATAGTTATTAATAAATGGGCTAACATTGTTGTTGTTGAAAATTAATTATTTTATTAGTTTTTAAAATTTTAAAATTATTTTTAATTTTTTTTCTATATATATATATAATAAACTATTTTTTTAAATACAGTTATTATCAAAAATTTATTGAAATATTTTTTTTTTTTGAAAAAATATGTTTATTTTTTATAAATAATTTAATTAATTAAGTATTTTTATAATTTTTATTAATTTATTTTTTTCTATAAATAGTTTTACAATTATAAAAATGAAATTAAATTATATGTATTTTTTTATGTTAAATAAAAACGCCATTAATTTGATTTTTTTTTAAATATTTAAAATATATTTTCTGTTTGTTTACTTAAATACTTAAATTTTATTTATTTTTTTACTATTTAATAATGATATTTAAATACATAATATCTAGACATTTATTTTTTTAATACTTATAATAATTTATTATATATCATATGTAGTTCATTAAATTTTTAACAAATAAGTTTATATGTTATGTAATATAAATAAGTATATGTATATAAATTATATATATATATATATTATATATATAACACAATCACTGTATACCACCAAATCTTTTACGGCAATCCTAAATCAATAATAGTTTTTATATTTATTTTTAAAAAAAAAATAAATAAAAAACAAATAAACAATTTAATATTTTTTTAAACAATAATAATTATAAATATATCTACATATCTATCTAATATATATAATATATACAATATATATACAGTATATATATAAAACAAACATTAGTAATAATATATTTTTATAATTAATTGATTAATTAATTTTAATAAATTAATATATTATTATTAATAATAATAATATTCCTATTACTACTACTACTACTACTAAAATTTAAAAAATAATCTAAAAATCTATAATATAAATTATTTATTTTATTTTTTTTTTAAAAAAACCATATACTATACTTACAATAACACCGGTCATTGACTGTGTAAACCTGGTCCTACCATTTTCAATTTCCAATTCAATTAGTAAATGTTTTGTTGTTTTTAGATAATCATCTTTTTTCTTATTAAAACAATTGATAAACGATTCGGAACATAGATCTAATAAATTTGTTTGCATATTTTTGATGGTTAGATCAACTTGGGTATAGGTGCTGCTGCTAAATGTTTGATCCAGGCCATTAGTAGTAGTACATTCATCTTCAAATTGTGACATCTATATTTTTTTTGGGGGGGGGGTAGGGAGTGGAGTGATGGGGGGGGAGGAGGAGGAGGAGGTGGTAAAAATAAATTTACAAAACATATTTTATAGTAATAACATGTATATATGTATATATAAATATAAATAATAATATATAGTTTATATATATATATATATTTAAATAATAATATATAGTTTATATATATATATAAATATAAATAATAATATATAGTTTATATATATATATATATTTAAATAATAATATATAGTTTATATATATATATAAATATAAATAATAATATATAGTTTATATATATTAATAAATAATATATAGTCTATATATATATACAGTATATATATATATATATATATATATAGCTTTATATATATATATATTACTTTTGTTTTCCACTGATCATAATTATCAGTCGATTGCAATTTGTTAACCAACTGTTGTTTGCAATTAATATATTTAATAACTAAATCCGTATTAACCCTATCGGGTGAACACTTTGTTTTCACGGGTGTTGCGGTAGTAGTAGTACTGGACTGCGGGTCCCGTTGTTGTTGTGTTGTCGGTACAGTAGTACTTGACTGTGGATCCGGTTGTTGTTGTTGTTGTGTTGTCGGTGCTGTAGTACTGGACTGCGGGACCCGTTTTGTTGTCGGCCCAGTAGTACTGGACTGTGGGTCCAGTTTTGTTGTCGGCCCAGTAGTACTGGACTGTGGGTCCAGTTTTGTTGTCGGCCCAGTAGTACTGGACTGTGGGTCCAGTTTTGTTGTCGGCCCAGTAGTACTGGACTGTGGGTCCAGTTTTGTTGTCGGCCCAGTAGTACTGGACTGTGGGTCCAGTTTTGTTGTCGGCCCAGTAGTACTGGACTCTGGATCTGTTTGTTCATCTGATTGTTGTTCGGTTTGTTCATCTGATTGTTGTTCAGTTTGTTGGTCTAACTGTTCCTCTGTTTGTTGGTCTAACTCATTGTCTAACTCATGGTCTAATTGCTGTCGGTATTGATAACCGTATGACTGTCTGTATCTGTGTCGGTGGTATAGGTTTCGCATATAATTAAAATAGCCATCGACCATTATTATAGTTGCATAATTAGCCAGTACAATTGTTATTAATAAACGGGCAAACATTGTTGTTGTTGAAAATTAATTGAATATTATTTATAATTTTTTTAAAACTAATTTTTATCTATATTTATATATAATAAACTATTATTTTTTTTAAATACAGTTATTATTATAAAATTTATTGAAATAATTTTAAAGATAAATATGTTTTTTTTAAATAATTTAATTAAGTATTTATATATAATTTTTATTAATTTTTTTTCTATATATAGTTTTTTACAATTTTATTTAGAGTTAAGTGAAATTAAATTATATGTTTTTTAAATGTTAAATAAAAAGCGCCATTAATGATTTTTTTTTTTAAATATATAAAATATATTTTTTGTTTTGTTTATTTAAATACTTAAATTTTATTGTTTTTTTTTTAATATTTAATAAATATTTTAAAATACATAATATCTAGACATTTATTTATTTTATTTAATAATTTATTATATATGTAGTTCATTAAATTTTTTAAACAAATAAGTTTATATGTTATGCTAAATTAAAAATTAAAATTTTATTTTTAAAAAAATTTGGCAAATAATACTAACATAGATACTATAATTAGACTATATTATCATATTATATATATTTAATACAATATAATGTATAATATATATATTGTATATATATATATATGTATTATATATAAATTTATTGTTTTTATTTATATATATAGCCTATTAATATTAGAAAAATAAATGTTGTTTTAATTTTATTTTTTAAAAAAATCAATATTAATAGTTGAGAATTCATTGAAATTTAATTAATTATAAATTAATTTGTTTAATAAAAATTATTAAATGCAGTCTATTTTTAGTTTTCAATATCCATATATTTATATATATACTATATATAAAGTACATGTATATTATTTACTATTAATTAAAATTTTTATTAAATAATATAATAAATTAAATTTAATAAAATAAAAATACTTTACTATAGTATTATATAATATATATATATATTAAATAATTGAAAATATTTTTACTGTATATACACTATACTATATATAATCTAAAGTATATAAATACAGTAAAATTTATTTATAAAACATATATATATATACTCACACACACACACACATACACACACACATACACACACACATACATACATATATATACACACACATACATACATACACAAACATACATACATACACACACACACACATAAACACACCCATACATACATACATACATACACACACACATACACTCAAACATACACACATATACACTCACATATATATACACACATATACATACACACACATACACACACACACACACACACACACACACACACATACATACATACACATACACCCACAGTTTCATTTCCTAGTTAGAGATACAGTACAAACCATTTATACAAATAAGAAATGATAGACACCATACCAGATGATGATGACAACAGGGAAACGGTAACCAAAAATATAAATAATAAATAGCAGACAACACACACACACACACACACACACACACACACACACACACACACACACACACATCCATATAAACATAACTGAGCGCTAAATTAAGCGCCGATTGAGTGCCAAAAAAATTGTTTTAAAAATAGTTTTTTTATTACCGAAAAAATAATAATAACTAAAAAAATCTTTTTACTATCAGTTACTATACAGTCATATACTTTGTGAAACATATAGTGATTTCAAAGTGATTGCTGTCTATTAAAGTTGTTTGTACTGTATATTCATAATAATAATAATAATAATAATAATAATAAATTATTTATCGATACAATACATCAATAAATTTTTCCAAATAGTGAAACAAAAATTTTTAATTATTATTTACTATGTTTTAAAAAAAATTGTTTTTCCATCAAAAATAAAACTTTTAATAAGTTTAAAACAATATTTTTTTTAAATAAAAATATTGTTACATAATGTCAATTAATTTGTTTGTATTATAGATTATTTTTTTTGAATAAAAAAAAGTTAATTTTGTTTTAATATTGTTTATATTACTTATTAAGTAATAATTTTTATCAATGATTTCCATTAACAACAATTATAGAGGTAATCATTATATAAATATATTATATTTTATAATTTTATAAAAATTTTACTGTTTAATGACTATTAAATACAAATATAAAGATATATTATTTTTTAAAAAATATTATTTATTTTTAATAAAATAATACTTTATTATATCTTTAACATATTAATTAATTATAACAATATTATAAGAAATTAGTTAATTTATTACTAGTCTATAATATTTATATATTAAATTTTTTTTTAATTAATAGTCTAAAACTTAAAAAATTTCTAAACCTTACGTTAAAAATTATATATTTATCAAACGTTTACAAAATTTATTATAACATTGAGTGAAAAAAATAATAACATTTATTATTATTATTATTAAATAAATTTCTAGAAAATCTACACATTTATAAATGATACATTTAATTTAATAATTAAATTAATTTTAATAATATATTTATATTGTTTTATTAATTTGTGATTTTGTTTGTTGTAATTATTTATAATTATTTATAGATTTTACTACTAATGGCAAAATCGGTTGCAATTTGTGCGGAAGTAACGGTGCATCGGTCAGGTGCGACAAATGCCAATCAATGGCTTTCTGTATATCGTGTGACGACATGTATCACAGGCACCCTAAGCGCCGGTATCATCTGAGAAAAGCCGTTGCCATTGATAATACGGTATTTAAAAAAACATATATAATTACAATTTTAAAATAATAATAATGACATTTTATTAACTATAAAAAAATAATTAATTAATTAATAGCTTAATAATAATAATTAATTAATTAATAGCTTAATAATAATAATTAATTAATTAATAGCTTAATAATAATAATTAATTAATTAATAGCTTAATAATAATAATTAATTAATTAATAGCTTAATAATAATAATTAATTAATTAATAGCTTAATAATAATTAATTAATTAATTAATAGCTTAATAATAATAATTAATTAATTAATAGCTTAATAATAATAATTAATTAATTAATAGCTTAATAATAATAATTAATTAATTAATAGCTTAATAATAATAATTAATTAATTAATAGCTTAATACTAATAATACTAAACAGTTTGACTACATTTTTGTTTTGTTTTTTTTAATATAAATTATATTATAATTTATATCATAATATATTATTAAATGAAATTTAATAATAAAATCATCTAGTTAACTTTAAATTTACTATAATCTACTATATATATATAGTGTTTTATTATATTATATTTAATTAGCTTATTAATTGATGATACAGTAATATATATAATAACTAAAATTAAATATTTATTTTAATCATTATTAAATTTTTGCTGTAGAAAAATAACCAAATTTACAAAATATTACATTAAATTTTTAAAATATATAAAAAATTAAAAAAAACGTACATTTATTGTATAGTAAAATATTGGTTAAAATAGTTGTTAATTATTGTCAATTACAGTAAAAAAATCAATTATAATTTATGTCAAACTAATAAATTACTTTTAATTATAATTTACTGTCATTTATTTGACTCTAATATATCAAAAAAAATAATTTTTAATTTTTTTAAGTATATAAATTACATTATAATAATAATGTAATACTAAGTTGACATTTTAAAAATATATTATTTTTAATTATTATATTTTGTGTGTGTGTGTGTGTCGTCAAAATTATTTTGAATATTTATATTTATAGTAACACTAAATATAAATTATTTTTATAAAAAGTATTTATATATATATAATGAAAACTTTAAATTCCCGGTTGTAATGAAAACTATTTTATAAGAAAAATAACTGTATTTTTAAAAAATATATATTTATATATATATATAGTTTATATTCAGCACTTTTTTTTAAATATATATATAATAAGATAATTAAATTTTTTTAAATACTATATAACATATATAGAAAATTTGCTTAATTAGCAGTTTTTTTTCTTAATAATTATTAATATATTAATAATAATAATATATAAGAATATTCTGTATTTATTAATAGTAATAATAATTCAAACATTTGACACCAATATATAAATATATATTTTTTATTATTATTTATTTTGTTACTACTATTATATAGGAAATGTTAGACAACATTATTGGCAAACCTAATAACGGGGACAGTAGTCGTATGGGTGGACATCCATCAAAAATGCCGGTTCCGCCTCCCAGACGAAAACGTAAAGGACTACTATTGTCTAGTATTAAGGTTTGTATAGTTTTTTATTTAAATAATCATATATTTAATCTAAAATTTTTAAATTATAGGAAACATTTACAAGCACTGGGCATATGTTGCGCCGGTATCTGAGCAATGAAAAAATATCGATACCTTCCCAGAGTAGTAATCATAATAATAATAATAATAATTCAAATAGTTATGGTTTAGATAGCATTCACAATAATCGACAAGAGGTACCCCTAATTGATAGGCCGATGATGCAAACCATACGTACTGATGGCCGGTATATACAACCCCAACCCCAACAACCCCAACACCAACAACAATCTCAACCATACCCTCAACAACAACAAACACGTGTTATATTATCAAATGCTAGCAATAATTACAACAATACTAATAATAATAGAGATATACATAAAACTAGTGTCAAACAGTTGGCTACACCTACACCCCCACCACCGTCACCAACAACAACAACATCAGTGAATCAACGATTCAATTCAATGCAATATAATTCACAAGCAAATCAACAGCGAAAACAATCGGATCCATTGCCGGCCACACCTCCGCCGCCAGTATCTACAGGAGGACAGTCAGCATTTAAACCGATATCACATCAACAGTCACAACGACAACTACCGCCACCACTACTGCCTCCACGGTTAACACCAACACCACCGCAAACGCCACGACAACCGGTAATTAACTATAAAATTTTTTTTATTGAATTAATTAAATTATAATTTTTTTATATATTATACTAAATATAATAGTATACTAAATAAAATTAATTATCTATATATTAATTAATTAATAATTATAATAAAACATTAAAGTTATATATCTATAAAAAATATATATATATATATTTAAAGATAAGAAATTTAATTTTATTATATATTATTAAATATAGTTTTGAATATAAAAATTATTATTTTTATTATATCTATATTTTTAAATAATTTCAATTTATTCTCTCTCTCTCTCTCTCTCTTTCTCTTTCTCTCTCTCTCTCTCTCTCTCTCTCTCTCTCTCTCTCTCTCTCTCTATGTATATGAAAATAGATGTATGAAAACTATCGGAAGGGCTCACTGCCTGTCGTCGACCATCGACTGCTGGGACGGAGTTCCTCATTGAATAGGGTGTCCACCAGTATAGGCGACATATCGTGTCAATCGTCGGCATCGCTGACACCGGATCCCCGACTAGACGACAACCGACGCGGACAACAACAACACACCGCCGCCGACCACAATCAGAGACCAACCATAGCCGGCGGCGGCGGCGCCAGCAATACATTAGAGCGACGAAACTTTTCATTCAATGACATCAACCGATCGTTTGACGACATCTCACGTTTCCCGGTGTCGTCGTCGTCGGCCTATCCATCCCAACAGCAACTGTTCAGCAACAATACCTGTCCGTATCATTACTATTATCCACCGCAGCCGCCGCAGCCGTCAATGATACCGATAGGACCGCATTATTTAGGCTACCCGTGGGGTACCGGTTCGCTGAACAATTCACTCGAAGGTGGTCTTCACCATCTGGCCAACGATTGCGACTACGATTCGGATAGAAGCGGCTCCGGTAGGCATCGCCACCACCATCACCAACACCATCAGCACCAGCAGGCTATCAATGATCATCGAAACAGGAGCTCAAGTATGAAACGCTGTCAGTCGGCCTTTCAGATGCATAACCCCCCGCCGTCGCCTTTTGACGTCGGCATCGGTGGTGGTGGCCAGTGTCTACCGGTTCAGCCGCCCTATTGCTATCAAAATCATTGTTGCGGCGGCCATTCGTACCCGAGTCCAGTGCCACCGCCATTGTTATCGCCATTTCAGGCCAGTAGTGGTGGTGCTACTGGTCATCATCAGTCACAGTCATACAGTTTGGCCGCCGCCGCCGCCGCCGGTCGTCCGTCAAGTGTCGACAATATACTGATGATGACTGAGTCCAACAACAAACCGTCGGCAAACAAGTCGTCGTCGTCGTCGTCGCGAAAGATTAAGATTAAGACCCGCGCGGCGAGCACTGGTGGTAGCGGTAGCGGACAGTTGTCCGATTCGGGCGGCCGATCGGCTACTACTACTACTACTACTACTACATCGTCGACATCGGGCAGACATCACAGCGACTTTGATGATGATGTCGACGACGACAATGTCGATGAAGTGGAAGAAGATTTTTTCTCCGCCAGCGATGATGACAAACAAACCAGTGATGAGGAGGAGGAGGAGGACGTGGAGGACAGTGATGGCGATAATACTAATAGCGGTGCTATTGATGACTTGCCGCCAGCACCGGCAGGCAATTGGTCGTGTAGGTCAGTAAATATATATATATATAGTATATACACCAATAGCTTATATATATATACAGTATATATGCTATACTTTTTTTCAATGATTTAATTGTTTTGAATCAATTAGTTTATACTATCAATTAGTAATTAACATTTTTAGTAAATTAATTTTTTATAATTTTTTTTAATTAATTATTTTAAAAAAATTTCAATATTATATATAGATACTAATTTAATAGATAAATAAATAATGTTTATAGTAATTAAATATATAATTTAATTTAAAATAATAAAATTTTTTAAATCTATTTATAAGATTTTAGTTGTATAATATAGGGTTGTGAATATTAACTATGAAAATATTATAATAAAATAGTATTAAATAGTTATATAAATAGCCCTTTATTAATGTATTACAGTTTTTTTTATAAATTATTTTCATAAACATTAGTAATTTTTGTTGTTGTTATCATTATTATAAATTTATTTAATTATTTTACTCAGAGTAAATTACCAAAATATATATATTACAAATTCAATGAATAAATAGTTCAATTTGTAAAATTTAGACTAAAAATTTCCTATTTTATTGTGTGTATGTATGTATATGTATGTATGTGTGTGTATGTGTGTGTATGTGTGTGTATGTGTGTGTATGTGTGTGTATGTGTGTGTATGTGTGTGTATGTGTGTGTATGTGTGTGTATGTGTGTGTATGTGTGTGTATGTGTGTGTATGTGTGTGTATGTGTGTGTGTGTGTGTGTATGTGTGTGTATGTGTAAGTGTGAGTAAGTGTGTGTAAGTGTGCGTAAGTGTGTGTAATTGTGTGTATGTATGTATGTATGTGTGTGTATGTATGTGTATGTATATATGTATGTGTGTGTATATATATGTATGTGTAAGATATATATATAGTGTAAATAATCCTAATTGGGGATAGCCTTAATAAGGGACGGCATACTTTAAATTAATTTTAATCACAAAATAATTAAACAATTGTTGATATTTATATGTCATTACAAACCTAAGGATATACTTTATAAGACAAGTGAATCAAAATTGTTATAATTTTATCACAAAATCAACAATTAATTGACAACAAAGATAACACAAAATATCACCATTTCATCCCTTATTTAACATTAAGTTTGAAATTAAATTAAACAATATTTAGTATAATTAAATTATAACTATTATTTTTTATACATAAATAATATATTAGTAAAAATATTAATAACAAAAATAATCACTTTTATTAATCTATGTATTAATTATTTAATTATAAATCAATAATTAGCCGAAAATCTCAATTAGGGACATGTAATTCAAAATAATTTTTATCAACAAATGAATGTCAATAACGTCATCAAATTAGTTTTATTTATAAATATAATTTTTACACACAAAAAAATAATAGTAAATTTTGATTGTACAGTATAATGAAAATAAAAAAAATTTAAAATACAAATTATCAAGTTTCAGTGTATCAAGTTACACTAAAAAAATAAAATAATTTTTTATAAATTATATTTAATGTAAAATAATCCGTAAAAATAATAAATACGTATAAATATGACATTATATATTTAAGATTAGCCTATTGGGTTGGTAGAGCTATTTAAGGAGTAAAAATCATCAACCTATTGGGTTGGTGGAGCTATTTAAGGAGTAAAAATCATCAACCTATTGGGTTGGTAGAGCTATTTAAGGAGTAAAAATCTTCAACCTATTGGGTTGGTAGAGCTATTTAAGGAGTAAAAATCATCAACCTATTGGGTTGGTGGAGCTATTTAAGGAGTAAAAATCATCAACCTATTGGGTTGGTAGAGCTATTTAAGGAATTTAAAATCATGAATAGTGATGGTAGATCTAATAGCATCCAATTTCTTCATACCACCCACATAGCTGTACGACTTCCTCAATTCGAGATATTCGAATAGTCGAAAATAGCTCTACCAACCCAATAGGTTAGTGATTTTAAATTCCTTAAATAGCTCTACCAACCCAATAGGTTAGTGATTTTAAATTCCTTAAATAGCTCTACCAACCCAATAGGTTGGTGATTTTAAAATCCTTAAAGAGCTCTACCAACCATTGTATTTAATTATTTGATTATTATTATCTTGTTTTTGTGATTTTGAACATTTTAAATGATTATAAATAATGTTATATTTTAAATTAATTTTTTATAATTTTTTAAACTTATAAATATGTTGTACTGTATTTTTGTAACTATAATTGTGGGAATCGGTAGTATTATATCTATAATATTTACAAAAATTTAAAATGAACATTTTATTATTTCTGTGTAGATAGAATATAAAAATAAATGAAAATAATTTTTGTATTTAATTTTTTGTGTGTATTATATAATTTATTTATTTATTAATTTTGTAGACATTATTTATTGTCAGATCTCGTATCCTAACAATTGCTTAACTTTTTATATTTTTTTTGGCGTCCCTTATTGAGACCATTTCCCCTATATATATATATATATAAGTTTAAATAATAATCTAAACTATAGACCTATAGATAACTAAATAAATAGTCAGAAAAGATAAATAGTTATTAAATTAGTAATGCTTAGTGTATTAAAAAAAAAAGTTAAACTATGAAAGTAGTGCCAAAAAAAAATTTTTGTTGTTGTTATTGTGTTGCACTACATATTGTTGTAATTAATTAGAGTATAACCGCAAATAATAATAATAACATAATTAACAACAACAAAATTTTTATAACAAATTAAAAAATAAATAAATAATTATTTATAATTATTTTTGTACACAGATTTTGTACGTATATTAATGACAATCAGAAAACAATTTGCGATATTTGTAGCAAAACTAATACCAGTCCTTCAACAAAAAAACATACCGACTCTTCCGTATCGATAATAACCAACAAAAATCAATCAAAAAAATCACTGAAACAAAAAAAATCATTGAAAATAAAACAACAAAACAATAGCAGACAACTGATCACATCTGATAAGAAAAATGAGATCAAAAATCAGCGAAAAATTATTATTAATAAAAAATCTAATAATAATATAAAATTTAATGACAACATCACTACTACTAATGATAATAATAATCACAAACATATGATAAACGATAAGAAAATTATTACTAATAATACAAATACTAATAATAATCTCAGAGACGATAGTTTAGTTGTCTTTGACGACCAGCTAATCGCCGAACAGAACCAGATTGAAAAAGAGCTGATCCGACGTCTGGAAATTGAAAGACAATTGGATGAAGAAAATGCTAGAATAGATAGACGTGAAGAATATAATCGTCGAAAAAGTCAGGGTTTGGCCGTCGATAAGGAACTGATGGATCAGATTATAGCCGATAATAATAATAGTAATAATAATAATAATGACAATCACCGGGAATCAGATGCACCGGCAGTTGGGGACAGTAGTGTCACTAATAGTAATACTAATACTAATAATGATAATAATCGTCAAAATTCTGGCGGCGATAATAAAGTGTCGGATAATTCCCGGAAAAATTCTACGATAATAGACGAGAATATTCTTAATAGTAATAATAATACTAATAATAATAATAGTATTAAATCATCAAATAATGATAATTTTAATAATAATGATAAAAATAATTTTGTCGATAATAATAGTAATATTAATAATAATAATAATAATTCTGATAATTTAATTAAATATACTAATAATAATAATAATAATAATAATAATATTACTACTAATAGTAATAATAATGTAAATCCTATTGAAAATACCACTAATAGTAATAATAATAATAATAATAATAATAATATAAATGAAAATTCAATAAATAACAATACAATAGTTAATATTAAAAATAATGAACAAGCTAATTTATTAGATAATAATAATAAAAATAATGATCAAAAAATTAATCAAGATAATATTATTAGTAATACTAATAATAATACTGAAACTAATAATAATAATTTTATTAGTAATTCAACCACCGATGCCAACTGTCCAAAAACTACCAGTGCACTAATTAATAGCAATAATAATAATAATAATTTAAATAATGATAATCAAAATAATTTCAATACAAATAATAATCAAAATCAGACACCAAATGGCATCATAACCACCGCCGCTAACTTAGCCAACAATGGCCAACAAATTGATCCGAACATTATCGGCAGCGGCGTCGGCGTCGGCGTCGCCGGGGACGACAATGTGGCCAATCAGTTGGTCAACCGATACCAGATGATGGCGTTGGGTACCCAACGGCTGGTGGCCAACAATCAGTTTGTTGTGAACGATAGGCGTCCATCGTATCCACCGTCGCCATCATATCATCATCAGTCGGCGTTTAATTTTAACGGCGGCGGCGGGTATGGTATGCAAATGATGGCCAATAACCTAATGGCCAATCAGATGGCGGCCAACAATAATAATAATCCAATGTTAGTCCAAAATCATCAGCTAATGATGAATCCGCTGATGAATCCATTGCCGGCCATGTATGGCAATAATAATAACCCGATGGCGGCCTCCTATTCATACCAGTCCAGTATCAATGGATCGCAGACCAGTTTGGATCGGTTTGGTGTTCCCGGCGGTGGCGGTGGTGTCATGTATCCAATGGTCGGGTCATCGATGGTCAACGATAATCCATATATGAATAATAATATGAATAATAATCCGTTATTATTACCGCAACAGCAGTCATCGTCGGCTACGGCATCGATAATGTCGTCCAGGTATTCAAGTTGCGAAAACTTGCCGTCGTATAGCACCGGTAGTATCATCGGTGGTAACAACAACACCAGTAACAGCACAGTTAGCCAACAATGTGAACGATCCCATAATAGTAATAATGGCAATAATAATACTACCGGTAATAATAAAAGCCAATTTGAATCGGGCCTACAATTGATACAATTGTTACGCGATGCCGATAGACGCGGCTATACTGCCGACGATGTCCAAGTGGCCATCGATTATAATCCAGACAAACCGTTAGGTTAGACAAAACAAAAACTACCGATTCCTCAAAATATAATGATTTTTTTGTTATATATATATATACCCATAGACTGGTTGGACGAAAACTGGCATACAATGTGCGAAACTGTCCAAACATTGACCAACAATCAGATTATGCGTGAATCGCGATCGGGTAGCAATCGGTACGGGGATTGGGATCTACTGAGAGAACATGAAGCCAAACAAGCCCTTCGGGATAGTAAGGGTAACATATGGTTAGCCATTGAAAAGTGTGTCCAACAAAAGGAAATAACCGTAAATCAACAAAACGAAGTCAAAGGCCAACAACAGCCGTCGGTAACGACGACCACAAAGTCGATGACCGCCACTACAGCGTACGGTAAGCCCACGGAAACGGACGTTAGCGGCGGCGGCAGTGGTGGCGGTAGTGGTGGACATAAAACTTCATTATCGATGAAGATATTGGGTTTCGGTTCGGGCAATGATAACAATGACCAGAATAATAATAATAATGGCCAACAATTGTTTAGGGAAAGCACCAGTAAGTTGGTGTCACTGTTTGGAAAGGGATGTCGGACTAGTAGTAGTAGGGTTGCCGCTAAACGGTAGTTAATAGTAGTATTTAGTAGTAGTAGTGTTGGGAAAACTTGATTTCAATTGATATTGAAGTTTGAATTATTTATTAGTTTTGTTTTTTTTTTGTTTTTAAGTTTTTTTTACCTAAAAATTTTAATAATTTTTTTAAAATTATAACTAACATGTGATTGAAATTGTTATTTGATTAATATCTTTACGTTATATATATATTTTTGTGATATTGTTTGACAAATTGTTTTTCAACAACAAAAAAAACTAAATAAATTATACAGGTATTAACATAAAATTATTTATTTTAAAAAAATGTTAAAAAAACATTAATATATATATATGATTATTATAGTTATTTTAAAACTATTATATAATAAAAGCGTTTCAATAAAACATTTTTGTTTTTTTTAAAAATAATATTTCATATCATTTTTTTTAAAAAAATAATTTTATGGTAATATAAATATTTATTTTGATTATTTAATAAAAAATTTTTAAGTAAAGAAAATAGCAATTTACTTTTTAGATTAAATTTTAGGTAAATTTTAGGTAAATTTTAAACCAATATAAAATATTAGACAAAAATATTTTTGGAAAACAATTATTTTCAAAAAAAATAAAATAAATATATTTATACATAAAAGTAAAAAAATAAATTATATTGTATTCTCTATTATATTTATTAATCATTTGGCAACTCTAGTCATATATATATATATATATATATATTTTAGTAAACTTATTGATAATTTATTTTATTTTTAAATATTTAAAAAATATATATTTCTATTGACAGCAACCATATCGTCGACATATAATTATTTTATTACCGACGATAACGAAGTCCAAGTGATGCCAATTGGCGGCACCGGTGCCGACATCAGTGGTAACGGTGGCAGTGGTGGCGATGATACTGTCAATGACACCGAAAGACGACTTATGGAACAGCTGTTGAACGAATGGAAAACCGAAAAACTAATGTCCGATCGGTTGAGACAACAGGAGAAGGAAAGGGAAAAATTTCGAAAGTTTATGGAATTACAGAAACGATTCAAAGAGTTTGAAGACAACGACAATGACGACGAAGAAGACATCGGTGGTAATGGTGTTGAAGAAGTAGTAAAAGTCGGTAATCAAGAACTAGTAGATGAAGACGACTCGATCGCCACCACCACTACTACTACTACTACTACGGGAGGCGCTGTTGAAGATCTACCGCTGGATGACGATAGCGGTCGGGGAGACGGCAGCGATGGCGGCGGTGACCGTCAGTTTGATGTCGCCAATGATGGCAACAATGATAATAATAATAAGCACATCAATAGTGGACATCAATTGTCTACTGTTCCCGCCGTTGATGTCGGTCGAGATGATGGCGGCGACCAAAATGGCGACGAATCGATGGTTATCGACGAATTGGTGTTACTTCTAGAACATCCAAATGCTGGCAATAATACCGATGAAGACCTAATGAACGAGTATTATAGCGATGAAGAACTAGAGGAAGAGGAAGAAGAGGTTGAAGAAGAAGAAGAAGAAGGAGTAGAGTTGGATGAGGAGGAAGAAGAAGAAGTAGAAGAAGAAGACATCGATGACGACGAGTTTGACAGAATTGATGCCAGAATTCAGGCAAAATTCGAGTCAAATTTCCTGAAGAATATTACAAACAATAATAATAATAATAGCAATAAATCTTTGAAATTATCGACAAATTTACTGAAGAAAAAATCCGATGATATTGTTGTTGTGAACGACGAGGAGGACGACTACGACGATGAAGAAGAAAAAGAAGAATATATTGATGACAATGAAGTTGTTGTCATTCAAACTAATGATGAATCAATTGGTGACGAAATTTTAGTAACAAATGTTTTGCCAAAAATTGATGATAATTTTGGTGATAGTAGTAGTAGTAGTAGTATTAATGGTAGTAATAGTGGCCAACAAATTGCTAATCAAAATAAAACTATTGATAAAAATCAGTTATCATTTGAAACTAGTGTCGAAAATATAGTACTACTTCAACAACAATCAGTTACCACTACTACTACTACTGATGTTAACAACAAAACTATTACAACTAATCTAAATCAAAATACCGGTGCTGTGACTAAACCAACAACAACAACACCAAGTGGTGGACAGTTAGCTGCAGCACCAGTAGCATCGGCATCATCATCATCATCAGCTAGTAGTAGTAGTAGTAGTAGTAGTAGTAGTAGTAGTAGTAGTGGTCAGTCATCATCAACTAATATGGGACTAAATTCAACTACTAATGAGACTACTAATGATAGTAATGTAAAATTAAATGATAAAAAATTAATTAAACAAAATGTTCAACAAATTGGACCGAAAATTGAATCAAAAATTGAACCGAAAATTGAACAAAAAATTCAACCGAAAATTGAATCAAAAATTGAACCGAAAATTGAATCAAAAATTGAACCGAAAATTGAATCAAAAATTGAACCGAAAATTGAATCAAAAATTGAACCGAAAATTGAACAAAAAATTGAATCGAAAATTGAATCAAAAATTAAACCGAAAATTGAACAAAAAATTGAATCGAAAATTGAATCAAAAATTGAACCGAAAATTGAACAAAAAATTGAATCGAAAATTGAACCGAAAATTGAACCGAAAATTGAACCGAAAATTGAATCAAAAATTGAATCAAAAATTGAACCGAAAATTGAATCAAAGATTGAACCGAAAATTGAATCAAAGATTGAACCGAAAATTGAATCAAAAATTGGACCGAAAATTGAATCAAAAATTGAATCAAAAATTGAACCGAAAATTGAATCAAAGATTGAACCGAAAATTGAATCAAAGATTGAACCGAAAATTGAATCAAAAATTGAATCAAAAATTGGATCAAATAGTGAAACAATTAGTAAAGAAAAGTCAAAAACTGTTGAACTATCAGAAAGTGATAAACAAATTGAACAGAAAATTGTCGACAAAATCATTGGTAAAGTGTCGACCAAAGGAAAGGCTAGAAAAACCAGTGCCAGTAGTCATCAACAGCAAACTGTTGAGGAAATACCTAATGATTTGCTGCCTATAGCTGACAGTCTTGAGACCACCAGTGATAGCAGTGGCGGCGGTAATGATAATAATCGTCAAAACAATGACAATGAAGAAGAAGTAGAAGAATTAGTAGAAGAAAACAATCTGAAGACTACTAGTGGTAGACAACAGAAGAAGAACAGAAAAGATATGATGAAAGAGATCGACAAAAATTTGCGCCAAAGTCTCGATGAAGTAGAGCTTATGGATCAGGAGCTGATCAGCACAGGTAGTGCCAGTAGTAGTAGTCCTACTGCAGTAGTAGTCGACAATAGCGGTACCGACAATACGTCGGTGACGACCATCGCTACCGTTGTCCATCAGCAGCCAGTAGTAGCAACAGTAGGGATGGCCAGTCAGCCCAAGCAGCACCTGTACGACGAAAGTTTCGGGTGGGCCCGAACCGACTACGAGTGCGAACTATGTTGTCTGGTCTACTCGATTGATGACCTGGTGGCACTGATATCCTGTACCCATAAAGCTTGTCGACAATGTCTGGCCAAGTATTATACGGTACAGATTAGGGAACGCCAACGGCTGGTAATTAGTTGTCCGTTTTGCGAGGAACCGGCCATCGATACCGACGATGACGATCGGGTTTTCGACTATTTAGCGCTTTTGGATTTGTTGGTCAAATATCTGGTTGCCGACGATGTCTACGAACTGTTTCAACGCAAGTGTCGCGATCGGGCACTGATGCGCGACCCGAGCTTTCAATGGTGTCCACAGGTAGGCCCGCCTAACCCCCACCCCCACACACCCCAAAACCACTACCCTTTCTTACCCCCCCCCTCCCATAAAAAATAGTTATTATACGATATATATCAGTAAATTCCCACTAAATTTTCCGCTAAATTGCCACTAAATTGCCACTAAATTCCCACTAAATTCCTACTAAATTTTCACTAAATTTTCCACTAAATTGCCACTAAATTCCCAATAAATTGCCACTAAATTTCCACTTAATTCCCCATTAAATTCTCAATATATTATTTATATATATACTGTGTATTTACAGTAATTTTTAAATTAAAAATTAATATTATTATTATTCCCATACCTCTACCCCCTGCCTCCCACAACACACACACACACACACACACAGTGCAGCTCCGGGTTTATCGGGCAGAACCTACAGGGTATGACCATTATGTGTCCCGATTGTAAAACTGTTTCGTGTATACAGTGCAAGAAAAAAGTATATATTATTTGTATTATTTATTTATTTTTAAAAATCTAACTAAATATCTGATTGTTTTTTTTGGGTGACAACCATCATATGAAAACAGTGGCGGAAACAACATTTCAATATAACATGCGAACAGTTCGCTCAATGGGAAGTGGATAACGATCCGGCTTTCGCTGAACAACAACTGGACAAACATCTCAAAGAGTTTGGAATCGGTATTCAAAACAAACAATAATATCAATTAATTAATATCTTTATTAATAAAAACATTTTTTATTAACCAACCACTACTACTACCTGACCATTCATATGCTACCCCATCTCATACCCCATCACCTCCCCTATAGACTGTCCAAACTGTAAGTTCAGGTATCAGTTGGCTAAAGGCGGTTGTATGCACTTCCGGTGCATCCAATGTTCATACGATTTTTGCGGCGGCTGTCAGCGGCCGTTCAAAATGGGAACTGTATGTTGTTTTTTTTTAAAGTAATTGATCCACCATTTGCACCTACATGTCTTCTATCTACTTACCTAACCCAACCTACCCGTCCCCTCTATTCTATATCATTGTTAATGTTTGCCCCCATTTCCTACTTAACTAGAGGTGCGGTGTATCGCCGTTTTGCGAAAAGTTAGGCCTTCACGCCCACCATCCGCGCAATTGTCTGTTTTATTTGAGAGATACCGTCACTCAGGATCTACAGTCACTACTGGATGTTAGTGTTATTGTTTGTTTGGATAGTTTGATCATTAGGTTTATAAACCAAATTATTTTTGTTGTTGTTTTTATAGAGAAACCAAATCAAATACCTGACTGTCCTCGAGTCGGGCGGCGGCAGCGGCGGCGACCACAACAAGACGGCCACCCGATGTCCAGTAATGGAACAGAAAGAGACGGACACCGGTATGCGGGACGAGCCGTGCAATCGTTATGTCGAAAGTGCCGGTCTTTGCAGGTATTCATTGATAAAATGATTTTAAAATTAATTATAAAAAATTAATATTTTTTTATAACATATAAATTATAATATTTTTTTAAAAATTAATTTTAATTAGTATTTTTTTATATATTGTATTGTATATTACATTTTATGCTTGCTCATTTATTTACAGTATTAGTAAAATATCTATATATTTTAATGACTACTATTTATTACTATTTTATAATAAGTTTAATAATATTAAAATAAATTAAAACATAGTATTATATTACTAATCTATTATTAATTAAGTGGTGTCTCCTAATATAAATAGTTAACTATTTTAAATTTTTATATTAATATTTTACAGTTTATATTATTTAGAAAAAAATAATTATTATTTATTAAGTAATCATTTAAGTAACTAAATGTTATCTAAATAACAATAATTATAATAATATCTATAAAATAAATATTTAGTTTTTTTTAAATATAAAAAAATAAATATAATATTTCGAAACAAATATATAAATTGTTAATTAATTGTTAATTATTTAAATTTAATTTTTCTTAATCTTTGTTTTTTTTGTGTTAAACAAATTTTTTTTATTTTTTTTAATAGACTTCACTATAAAGAATATTTAGGTGATCTGATCTGGAAGAATGGTATCGATCCGGTGGACATCTTCGACAACGACCAGCTGGAACTGGTAGTCAAACGGGAAAATATTAGACTACCCCCTAAAGGATGTAATAATAATGCAAATACCCGACAATTGTATAGGAAATTATTGATTGAGGTATTGTACTGTATTGGGTGTATGTGTGTGTATGTGTGTGTGTATGTGTGTGTGTATGTGTGTGTGTATGTGTGTGTGTATGTGTGTGTGTATGTGTGTGTGTATGTGTGTGTGTATGTGTGTGTGTATGTGTGTGTGTATGTGTGTGTGTATGTGTGTGTGTATGTGTGTGTGTATGTGTGTGTGTGTATGTGTGTGTGTATGTGTGTGTGTATGTGTGTGTGTATGTGTGTGTGTATGTGTGTGTGTATGTGTGTGTGTATGTGTGTGTGTATGTGTGTGTGTATGTGTGTGTGTATGTGTGTGTGTATGTGTGTGTGTATGTGTGTGTGTATGTGTGTGTGTATGTGTGTGTGTATGTGTGTGTGTATGTGTGTGTGTATGTGTGTGTGTATGTGTGTGTGTATGTGTGTGTGTGTGTGTGTGTGTGTGTGTGTGTGTATGTGTGTGTGTATGTGTGTGTGTATGTGTGTGTGTATGTGTGTGTGTATGTGTGTGTGTATGTGTGTGTGTATGTGTGTGTGTGTATGTGTGTGTGTATGTGTGTGTATGTGTGTGTATGTGTGTGTATGTGTGTGTGTGTATGTGTGTATATATGTGTGTGTATGTGTGTGTATGTGTGTGTATATACAAGTTTACTTTTTAAAAAATTTGATTTAATAAAAATATTAATTTAATTTTTGTTGTCAATAATTAGCTCATCAACGAAAAAATTCCACTAAATCTTCATTAAATTATTTATGATTTAAATACAAAAAAAATATTTGTTTTGTGTTTATTGTTGGATAAAAAAATTATTTAAAAATAAATATATATTATAGTGATTTAAAAAAATAATAGTGTAATATATAATTTAAAGTTTGTTTGAATTTATTTAATTTATTCAATGTATTTATTAAATAATAAAAATATCTATCATTTTTTCAATAATAAATTATTTTTTAAAAATATTTAATATTGTTAATTACAAAAAAATTAATAAATAGAATTAAAGTATAATATTTGTTTAATTTTATCAGGATCATAATTTATTTATATTATAATTTTTTTTTTTTAAATGTATATATTATTATTTGAATTGATTTTAAATTAAATTATTAAAATAATAACTTTTTATTAATAATATTTTATTATAACAATATTTAATTAATATTTTTATTTGAATAAATATTGTTATTTATTTAATTTTTAAAAAAAAAGAAATAATTAACAAAAATATTGTTATTTAATTATTTAGTTATAAATTGTTAATAAGTATTATACAGTTATTACCAATTTTATGATTAATTTTATAATAATATTCACTAACAAGTTTTAATAATATTTAAATTTTACAGTTTATAATAATATATATATTTAAAAATTATATAACAACAGGATAAATTTATAAACTGTTAATACATTACTATTATATAGCTATTATTGATTTTGAGTTTTAATTATCTAATTTGTATAATCTATGGTATTTTAATTATTTAAGATTTGATTTTATTATTTAATTTTTTAAAAAAAATATGCAAATAATTTAATGATTTAAAACTAACAAAACAACAACAACAAAAAGTTTAACCATTAGAAATTAGTATAGTTTGTAATACTATTTTATAGTAAAAAAATAAAAATTAGGTAATTATCATATTATCATCGCTAATGTCAAATAAAAAATGTAAATGTTTATAATTATATTCACCAAGTTTTACTAATAGATAAATTTTACAGTTTATAATAAATTATATATATATATATATATTTAAAATTATATAACAATAGGATATACTAACAGTGACTGATATATCGATAATTGCTGCAAATAAAACTAATTTTTAATATATATATATATATTATTTAAATTAATATCAAATACTATATGTATATTAATATCGATTTTTGTTTCATTAAATATATGTAAAAATATACCCAAAAAAAATTACAATCAATAATATTATTTGTCATTATTAACGATTAACACATTTATATATATATAATAAATCTTTACTTATATTTTTATTTTTAGTTAATTATATTTTTTATTTCTTATATTTTTATTATTAATTACTTTATATCAATATATAAATTGTATTTTTATATTAAGTAATTATATCAATATTATTATTTATATTATATGAAATAAATCAATATTAATATATAAACTATATCTATACCCATTATAGATTTTTTTTGTAAAAAATATTACCTAGTTTATTTTGGATATAACAAAATATAAATATAAAATAATTAATTAATTATTATTCATCATTTATTTTTTATATATGCCGGGTTATTTTTATTAACATTTAATAAGCAGGCGCTAGCGCATGTCATATATATATATATATACTAGTATATATATATATATACAGTATATTTATATATATATTTGTATTTATTGTTATTTACAGTATATTTATATATATATATATTGGTAACATAATACACTAAACCAAACATGGTAATACCGGTTTTACTGAGCACCTGTACATCTACCTGTGCACACACATACACTGTATATTACATAATAATGTTTTTTTATTGTTGAATAGTAACAACAAAATGTCAAGTATTTAAGTTTATTTTTTTATACATATAATACATGTTATATATATATATATACAGTCGATGACAAAATTGATGAACGAGGTTTTTTGTGTATATCTTTAGAATGGAAATGAACTAGAACAAAAAAAAATTTTTGCTACTATTATTTATTGGGACGGTCAGTTTGGTATTGCCACTTTTTTTTGTAATTGGGCACAGGTATGCAAGGACAGGGATGGTCAATATCTCGAAAACTATAATAGATATTAAAGTTTTATAAATTGCTAATTATACTAAATCTGATAATATTGGACACGTGTTTTGGCATTTTTAATTTTATTGCAAAGTATTCGAACAAAATTAATTTTTTTGTTGCAAAAATCAAAATTTAAGAGACCATATCTTTTAAACGCATCATTATATCATGATTTAGTTAATTGATTTAAATTCTATATTTTAGTACTAACAATTCATCTATACATTAAATTTAGTTAGCTTGTTTAGTTTTTTAAATATTTGTAAATTAATTTTTTTCTATTGTAATTATTTATAGATTTTGTTATCAATGTTATGTAATAGAAGACAATAATTAGTACTTAATTACAATAGAAAAAAATTAATTTACAAATATTTAAAAAACTAAACAAGCTAACTAAATTTAATGTATAGATGAATTGTTAGTACTAAAATATAGAATTTAAATCAATTAACTAAATCATGATATAATGATGCGTTTAAAAGATATGGTCTCTTAAATTTTGATTTTTGCAACAAAAAAATTAATTTTGTTCGAATACTTTGCAATAAAATTAAAAATGCCAAAACACGTGTCCAATATTATCAGATTTAGTATAATTAGCAATTTATAAAACTTTAATATCTATTATAGTTTTCGAGATATTGACCATCCCTGTCCTTGCATACCTGTGCCCAATTACAAAAAAAGTGGCAATACCAAACTGACCGTCCCAATAAATAATAGTAGCAAAAAATTTTTTTTGTTCTAGTTCATTTCCATTCTAAAGATATACACAAAAAACCTCGTTCATCAATTTTGTCATCGACTGTATATAATATTTTTTATATATAATATATACTGTATATATATATGTGAATACATTATCTGATTATTATAAAAATAATAAGTGATTATAATTATATTTTTTTTGTGTTTAGTGATAATAACTATGATATATATATATATACTTATTTATTACTTTATTTTTATTTGTTGTAATTAACTAAAATAATATTAAATATTTTATTAAAAATAATAGTAAAAATTATATTAACTATTGTATTCAAATAATAACAATCAAACAAAATAATAATTAAGTTATTATATATATTGTGAAACTAATTATCGTATATTTTATAATATAATTTAAGTTTTTTTAATTAAATAATAATTTTTTTTTGTGTAAAAACTATGGCAAAAATTATCTATGAAAAGTCATCGTTTGATCGGTTCGGCGATGACTTAGCGGAAGTCCTATTGTCGTCATCATCGGCCAGTGGTCTGACACTTGAAGATCGGATCCGTTTGGAGTCAGTGTCCCGACAATGGCAGCGGACAATGTTTACGGGTATAACCCGACTAGAAATTGATCACAAGTTTTACAATAAAAATAGATTACAGAAAAATATCGCTGGATTTGAATCACTACTAAAAAAGTTACCAAACATTCAGTCAATTGAATTCAATTGTCTCGGATTTAATGACCAGATTTCAGATACAATTGTCAATCATTGTCCAAATTTACGATCAATTAAAATGCAAGTTACCGATGATCTATCAGTTGAGGCTATCGGCCAATTTTTCGACCGATTTGGCCAACAATTACGGGCTATTAAGTGTACTACTAATTCATCGGACGAATCAGTGGTCGACCAGTTTGTCGATAGACTGCAAAAATGCGGCGAAAATATTGTCGATTTAAATGTTAGAAATTTCTACAATTATTATGAAAGACGATCTGATTTTGCATTGATTTTTGGTCCAAATAGTAGTGACTTATTATTATTGTTTACTAAACTCCGGAACTTTTCGTTTATGTATCGATTGGATGACCGAAACCGTGTCCAACAGTTTGCCCGACATTACGGGAAATGTTCGGGAAGTTTACGAAAAATTGATGTCTTAATCGATGAAAATTGCGATCAGTTGGCTGTAGAAACATTGATGCAATGTTTGGGACAGTTAACTGTTTTGTCGGATTTGGCCATCAATTTCGATACAATCGATGCCCAACTGGTCGAGTCTATACCCGAACTGATGATCAAAATCGGTCGTAAACCTAGTCTACGGAAATTTTCCCTAAAACTTCATATGTATTCAAAGCCATTAACATCACAGTTGTTATCGATAATCAATGAAAACTTTTCGGGCGTCGAGTTTATCAAGTTTTACGGTAATTTTCCGGCCGAACTATGCCTAATGGACGACTCGTTGCGTAATTGTCGGCAATTACGGGGACTGTGGCTACACTTTGCGGTACCGTTTTATTTGGACAATCAGTATGTCCAGAGTATAGCCGAAAAGTTTCCTAAACTTCAATACTTGTATCTAAAACGCGTTGAATTAGATGACCGATCATTGGATTATCAAACTGTGGCTAAATTAAGACATTTGAATACATTGACTGTATTTTATTGTAGACAACAATTGGATACTAAGTCACTGATGGATAAGATTATCAGTAATAATAGTAAAACATTGAAAAACATTGACATCAAGTTTGAAAACTTTATGGTTGTTAACAATTTTGTTGACCAACTGTTCAATAATTATAAGTTAATGAAAAAATAATTATCAATTAAATTATTATTATTATTTTTAATTAATTATTACTAAGTTAAATTAATTGGATTAATTAATTATATTAATAATTTTATTGAAAAATGATTATTATTTTTATAATAATAATAATATTTAATTTAATATTTAAATATTTTTAATTATTTATGTGCTTAAGTAAAAAATGAAAAAAATTATATATAAATTATATTCAAGATTTATTTATTTTTTTTTAGTTAAAATAATTATTAATCTATCATAAAATTTAATTTATTAATCATTTATTTTTAATGTATCTAAAAAAATAAAAATAAATAAAATATAAAACATTAAATTTTTTTATAATTTATTAAATAGTAAATATAATTATTACTAGGTGATATTCTAATTTTTAATTAATTATTTATTTTTTCATTAATTATCTTTTTAAAAATTTGATTAATATTAATTGAATTATTTTTTTATAATAACTTAACTAATAGTTTAATAAATACTTTATATACAGTATGACATATATATTAAATGTAAGTTAAAAGTTAAAGTAAAAATAACCCGGCATATATAAAAATAAATGATATTATAATTTTTAAAAAAAATTATTTTATATTTATATTTTGTTATATCAAAATAAACTAGTTAATTAATTTTATTTTTTTTCTAAAAAAAAAATCTATAATGAGTATATATATATATAGTTGTTATAATAATATTAATAAAATACAATTTATATATAAAGTAATTAATAATAAAAAAAAATATGTGAAATTAAAAACAACAACAAAAATACGAGTAATTAATAATGAGAAATAAAAAATATAATTAATTTAAACTAAAAAATATGAGTAATTAATAATAATAATAAAGATTTATTATATATATATATATATATATATATATATACAGGTCTTAATCGTTAATAATGACAACTAATATTATTGATTGTAATTTTTTGTTTGTTTTATATATGTTTTACATATTTTTAATGACAATAAAATCAATATTAATATACATATAGTATTTGATAATAATTTAAATAATATATATATATATTTAAAAAAATTAGTTTTTTTAGCAGAAATTATTGATATATTTATAAAGTATTATCAGTCACTTAGTATATCCTATTGTTATATAATTATATATATATATTATAAACTGTAAAATTTATATATTTGTAAAACTTGATGAATATAATTATAAAATTTACATTTTTTTTGTTAGACATTAGCGATGATAATTAAATAATTTTTATTTATTTTTTTACTATAAAATAGTATCACAAACTATAATAATTTGAATCTTTTATAAACTTTTTTTTGTTTTGTTATGATTTAATTATTAAATTATTTACATATTTTTAAAAAATTAAATTTAAAAAAAATCAAATTTAAAATAATTAAAATACCATAGATTATACAAATTAGATAATTAAAACATAAAATCAATAAATAGCTGTATAATAGTAATGTATTAACAGTTTATAAATTTATCCAATTGTTATATAATTTTTAATATATATATATATATATTATAAACTGTAAAATTTAAATATTAGTAAAACTTGTTGAATATAATTATAAATTTTTTTAGACATTAGCGATGATTATAAACTAATTTTTATTTTTTACTAAAAACTTTTTAAAATAGTATAATAATTTGAATCTTTTAAACTTTTTTTTTGGTTTTGTTATGATTTAATTATTAAATTATTTACATATTTAAAAAAATTAAATAACTATTAAAACTAAACTAATTAAAAACTAAATTGATAAACAAATTAAGTTATTTATTTTTTTAATTTAAAATATTAAAATCATAAAATCATATTTAAAAATAATATATATATAATACAATAGATTAGACTAATAGTATAGTTTTAAAACTTTATGTTAAATCATTGGATCAATCAATCTGTGGCTAAATTAAGACATTTACATACATTGACTGTATTTTATTGTAAGATAACAATTGGATACTAAGTCACTGATGGATAAACTAATCAGTTATAGTAATAGTAAAACATTTAAAAAACATTGACATCAAGTTTGAAAACTTTATGGTTGTTAACAATTTTGTTGACCAACTATTCAATATAATTATAAGTTAATGAAAAAAATAATTAAAATTATTATGATTTAATTATTTATTAATTATATATAAAAATATTATCTATTTTTTAATAATTAATTATTACATAAATTAAATTTTAATAATTTTATTATAAATGAATAATAATAATATTTAATTTAATATTTAAATATTATAAATTATTTATGTGTTTATTAAAAATGAAATTAAAAAAATTATAAATAAATTATATTCAAGATTTATTTATTTTATTTTATTTTAGTTAAATAGTTATTACTGTAACATTTAAATTTATTAATCATTTATTTTAATATACCTTAAAATTTGTAATAAAATATAAAACTTTAAAATTGTATATAATTTATTTAAATAGTAACTTAATTTATTACTAGATGATATACTAAAATTTTTATTAATTATTTTTTAATTAATTTAATTTGAAAACTTGATTAGTAATTATTAATTAACTTTTTTTAAAAATAACTTAACTAATTAGGTTTAATAACTTACTAATAACTAAATAATAATTATTAATATAATTATACAATATTTTAACACTAGATGTCTATTATATATTTTTAAAGCCATTTTTATTTGTTGTGTTTATATATGCTATCAAACAATTCAAAACATATATAGTAAATATACTTTATATATATATTATAATTTTACCGCTTATTTAGTACTATTATACACATACTAACTGTATATTATTTGATACATCCTATTGATAACTGAAAAAAGTACCAAAACTATATCGGTTTAACAGTTAACTTGTTTTAAAAAAAAAAAAATGTATTAACTATTTGTTTGTTTGTAAGTAATGTTTAATTCAATGCATTGAATGACAAATCAATTTTTATTTAATACAATAATTATTATACAGTTTTTATTAAAGTAAACAATAAAAACAATTAATTAATTTAATTATTAATTAAATTAATTAATACAATCACTACATAACCACTGACCGCTACCTACCGTTTCCGGCGCCGCAAATCATCGCCTAATTTATCGCTAAAACCAATCGGTCGACCCGTTATAACCTATGTCTCGTTCATTTCTATTCGGTGGCCAAACATCGGCTCAAACCCGTAGCCAGTATTTGGTTGAATTCAAGGCCGGAAAGATGACCCAAAACGGCACTACCGTATGTATACCGTATGTGGCCAGTGGCCACTATTGGTTTGGCCGATGATGGTCCCGATATTAATGTTGTTGTTTGGTTTGATTTACAGGTTAGTCCCGTCAAAGGCCGCAAAGGACTCGTCTATCTTCACCAAAGTCCCGACGATTCGCTAATGCATTTCTGTTGGAAGGATCGGCAAAGCGGTCATATAGAGGATGTAAGCCGTGATGTTACCGATCGGTCCGTCCGACCGATCGATCAATTGTTGGCCCGATTGAATGTTTTACTTATTTTTTATTTTAATTATCTAATCGTCTTATAGGATCTGATCATCTTTCCCGACGAAGCCGAGTTCAAGCGTGTGTCCCAATGTACTACTGGTCGGGTGTTTGTCCTCAAGTTTAAGCCGAGTGCCAGACGTTTCTTCTACTGGAGTCAGGAACCGAAGGACGACAAAGACGACGAATTGGTTACCAAAATCAACGATTACATCAATAATCCGCCGCCGATAGGATCGACTCGTTCGGGCGGAACAGCCGGCGGTGCCGGTTCGGGTGTACTGTCGCCGGCCAGTGCACTGGCCGACTTGTCGTCGATTCCCGAAAGCGAAATCCAGGGCCTGTTGAATAATATATCGCCGCAACAGTTTATGTCGGTGTTGGGCGGTGTAGGCGGTCTCGGCAGCAGTGGTTTGGCTGCACTGTTGTCCAACACGCGTAACGCCAGTAGTGGTAGTAGTGCGTCGGCATCGCAGGTGTCGACTCCGGCAGCGCCGCAAACACCGGCCACCACACCGGCCGTTGTCAGCGCAGCCACTAGCGAGTCGTCGTTGACCACTACAGGCGGCGGCGGCACATCACCGGCTAGCGGTGCGACGGCCACTGGCGGCGGCGCTAGTGCTGGTGGGTTAGCCAGTGCTCTGTCCGTACCCGGCATTCAATTGGCTGATCTCCAGAGTATCATCAGTGGACTGAATATACCGAACAGTGCTAAAGATAACGACTCATTGAATGGTTAGAAAAATTTTTAATTATTGATTAATTACCGGTAATTATATTATATTTTATTTTTTTAGTTGACTTATCGTCGAGTCTAACACTGGAAGCCCTGCAACCGTTGGTTAGTAACGAAGATTTTATGCGTCGAGTGAGGGAATCGTTGCCTCCCAGTGCCGATGGAGGCGATACCATCACTAGTAGTACTACTACCAGCAGCACCAGTAGTACATCAGCGGTATTTGCGTCTACCGTACAGTCGCCACAGTTTCAACAGGCGCTCAGTACGTTCTCCGGTGCCCTACAATCGGGACAGTTGGGTCCGCTTATACACCAGTTTGGACTGAGCCAGGAGTGCGTCGATGCGGCCAATGCTGGCGGTAAGCTTCGGGAGACAGACAGAGATTATAATTCGTGTCTTATTTTGTTTTTTGTTTATTTATCTAATTTTCTTGCATTAGATTTGGAAAAGTTTGTTAAAGCGCTTCAAAAACAACAATTAAAAGATGGATCTACTGGTGGACCAAAAGACGATGAGATGGCACTCGACTAATAACACAACAACAACAACAACACCCGTACCGTACGGTCTATTAACTTCAGATAACAACAAGTTTTGGCAATTTTTTATATATATATATATATATAAACACAAAAGTTATAAACACTTATATATAATATTACTCTACTGTATGTCTCTTTTTTTTCTCTAATTATTTTTTTTTTTTTTGGTAATCAAATTCAATATATAATTTCATAATTTGTTTTTTGTGTGTATTTTATTGATTGTCTATTTTGGTAATAATTATTATATTTTTTAAATAATAAAAATATTAGTTTTCATTTTTTTTTAAGGAAATATTTAATTATAATAAATAAAATTGCAAAAATTCAATGAAAATTTAATTATATTTTTGTGTCAATTGATTTAAGTTGTGAAAATTGGATCTAGGTTTTATTTTTTATTTATGTTTTTTTGAAACTAACGGTAATTAATGGTAAAATTTTTTAAAATATTTAATAAATAAAATAAGTTTTTAATTATTTTATTAAATTTTATTCAACATTCAAATTAAATATATAAAAAACCAGTTGAGAATGCTAGAAAGCATTTCCACACGAATTCCTAATCATAATTAAAAATTAAATTCAGTATGATAAAATAAAATCAACTATAGTTATGTAGGGTATCAAACGATTTAGTATGACAAAATAAACAACTATAGTCATGTGGGCTATCAAATGATTCAGTATTACAAAATAAACTACTATTTTCCTAAAAAATAAACTTAAAAACGAAAAAAATAAAAAATCAATATTCAAAAAAATTCAAAAAAAAATTCAAAAAAAATCAACATTTTTTTAATTAATTTTTGGACACAATTTTCTTCAATTTCATAAAAAATAAACTTAAATAAGAAAAAAAACAAAAAAAATCAAAAAAAAATTTGTAGCGGATAGTGGATTCGAACCTATGTCCTCGTGGGACAGACAGACCGACAGACAGACCGACTTATAGAATGCATATACGTATTCCTTTCAGGAATTCGTGAAAATATATGAATTTTATTTTATTAATATAATATTTTTTTTTTTTAAATAAATAATATATAGATAATTATGTTTAAATATTTATTTAGAAATTTAAATTATTTAAATGCGCAACATGATACTATTAATAAAATTTAAAAAAAATTAATAAATAAAAATAAATAAAATTAGTACACTTTAATAATTATTACATGTCAATTATATTATTATTATTATTACAAACAAGTTATTTTTAATTTGTTTATTTTTTTTGTGCATAACTTTAACAAACAAACAAAAAATAAATTTTTAATACCTGTTATTAAAATAACTGTATTACTATAAATGTAATACTATTTTATTGATAAAAACAAAATAGTGTATTAAATATAATATATTTTAGAGTTTGGGTAATAACTTTACTAAATGGGGAGGGAATTTCCCCTAATAAAATCTATCTAATTTTCCCGAAAAATAGGTATATATATTATTTTATTTTCCCTGCCTAGCTTATTAATATATATATATATATTATTTTTAAAATTAATAATAATACTAAAATTAAAAATTTTTTGGCATAAATTTTTTTTTTGAAATATTTTTAAAATCTAAATTTAATTTAATCAATGAATTTAATCGATACTAACCTAACCTATCTAAACAATAGTACCAACAATAATAGTATAATAAAATTTAAATAAAATTCAATAGGTCAATAAAGGTTAATAAATTCCCCGTGGGAATTCCCAGGGAATATGAAAATTTATGGATCTTAAAACAAAGGGACGGAATCTAATCTAATGTTAAAATATATTTTAAAGTACACTTATTTTTACATCAGTACATTTTTTGTCGATGATTTGATACCTTTTATTATATGTTATATTCTATACATAGTTTGTAAATTATATATATATATTTTATAAACTGTTGTATAAAATAGGCTAAAATCATTGTGAAATGTATGAAATAGTAGTTTTAAAAAAATATTTTTAATTTTTTATATCAAATAAATTATGAAATTACGTTATCTAATCATAGATGTTGCACACGTGCGCGCATTGATGATTTGATTATTATTAATAATATTAGTATTATTAATAATAATACTAATAATTATTATTAATAATTATTATTATTTAAAAAATAAATAAATCTATAATTATTTTATACTAAAAATAATTTTTTAATTTTTTATATTATAAAATTATGAATAAAATAAATGATAAATTTTCTATTAAAATCAATAAATAATTATTTATAAAATAAAATAATAATTACATAACTTTTAACGAGTAAATAATCATTTTTTTTATTTAGTCTATATAGTTGTATGTATTTAATTATTTTAAAAAAAAAATTATTTTACATTTACACAAAACAAAAATTAATTAATTAATTAATTAGTAAAAAATATTGAAATAATTATCCAAATTTCTCTACATATAATTATATGTGCATATGTACGACACGTATGACTACTACTGTAGTTAAAAAATATTTTAGTAAAGCGTTGACTCAGACGTTGACTTTTTTTTTAATAATAATTTTTATTTTATTTTTTTTTAAATATAATTTATGAAAATATTTTAGTTTTTATTAGTTTTTGATTGTATTTATTACACACACATATATATACAGTAATACCTGTATATTATTATTATTATTAAATATATAATATGTGTGTTAAATGTTTGATAAAAATTTAAAAAAAAAAAAAGTTTTTTTTTTATAAATAATTAACTAAATTAGTAGTAATTAATTAATTACTAATTTTATTTTGTGTGTAAAAACTATTATTATTATTATTACATTACATACAAAATGTTTAAACATTTTTTAATAATAATAAAAATCTAAATCAAAATTATTTGATATTAATATTCAATTGTTTTTTATGTTTTGTTTATTTAGTTATTATTATTAGTTATTTGTGTCAACAAAACGTGTGGTCAACAACTCATTGCACGTCACGTATAACGCGTGTCACGCGCGTGAAAAATAAAATAAAAGTTTTATTTGAATGTAATTGTTGTTATTGACCGCAATTTTTGACCGCAAACAACTTTGAATTTGGCCACTTAAATTGACCGCTAGTTTGATCGTTACCGTCGCCGCCGCCACCACCGCCACCGCTGTTATGTCTTCAACAATGCTATCATCGCCGCCGACGTCGTCGTCGTCGGCACCGATGGACACTCAGGTATGTGTAGTCCATTCATGTGTTGATGTGTAGACACAACTGCCGACCGATTATACGGGAAAATGTTTTATTCATCTGTTTCTCTCTCTTAATCTGTTACCGATAGTTGAGTTCAACGGCCGCCGCCGCTGCCGCCGTCACTACCGATATGACCACAGATGACACTATTGTTGAACGTATTCTTGAAGTATGTGTACTTCGATGAGACCGGACCTATAATAATGACTGATCCTATCAATTGATAGATTATATTACTATTAGCGGTAATTTTGTTTTGTCCACTTCTGTCTTCGTTATTATTAGATACTATCGCTGGACAAACTGAAACCGTGGTTCGATACGGGTCTCAAACAGGAATACGAGCGCCGATTTAGTCACCGATTGCCCGTCGATTGGATACGAATACTCGAAAAGTGCGGCTCCGATCTCATTGAGGTCACAGTGTAAGTGTAATCGGCGAGAGAGACAGACAGAGAGAGAGACAGACAGAGAGAGAGACAGACAGAGAGAGAGACAGACAGATAGAGAGAGAGAGAGACAGACAGACAGAGAGAGAGAGAGAGGCAGACAGAGAGAGAGAGAAAGAGACAGACAGAGAGAGAGAGAGAGAGAGAGAGACTATTAGAAAGAGAGTTAATATTGATTTATAATTGTTTTTTTTGTTTTTCAGTCAAAAGTACTCAAACGGATCGAAAACTTTTATTCAATTACCGATCAAAAAGGTACGCAACTCTACCGGTAATCTTCCAGCTTCTCCGGTATCACAATCATCATTGGCTAAGTCATTGACAATTGTTGGGAAAAATGGAGACACAAAGATACCGATGACACCGATAAGGATGACACCATCTGTGGTTAATACACAATCTCCTGTACCGGAGCTGTCGCCGAACAATAAAAGCGGTTTAATGACCGCCACGGCTGCCGTTGCCGCCGCCACAACCGCTTCCGATAATCGTAAAGTACAAAATGGTTCACAAAGTGTGCCAAAAGATAGGATGATAACTACCGGTACTACCGATCAGGTAGTGATAGAGCCACCAAAACAACAACAACAAGTTAATACTAAAACCAATGGCCAATTGAATGGCAGTATCGGTGGCGTTGTCAACAACAGCGGCCACACTAATGGTCACACATCTCATTCTTCTGGCGATACATATACGTCGGATAACGTACTATCGGGCGGTCGTCCAATTCCGCCGCCACTGTTGCCAGATGTTAATCCCGAAGAATATTTCGACATTTTCGTACTATTGTCGGCAACGCCGAAGAATTTTATAGTCGTCCCGTTTGCCAATACTGCACACAATTCGCCGTTTCAGAAGCTAAAGTCGAAAATGTTGGACTTCTACGACAATGTGGACAATCATATTGATCTGACAGCCGAACTGATTGTCAACGGTATATATATAGCGACCAAAGCACGCGACGAATGGTTCCGCGCTCAGGTCAAGAGTGTCATATCCAGGGATCCGTTTCAGGTGATCACCTATTTGGTGGATTATGGCGAACATTTGACTGTCGATATCAAAGATATTCAACCATTGTATACGATGTTTCGCGAACTACCGGCTCAAGCGCTACGCGCGTCACTTGCAGGTCAGTGTCGGCAGTATTTTCGGGAATCAAATAATAATTGATTGATTGATTGTACGACCCATATGTATATAGCCCACCCCCTCCACCAACCCTTCCTGCTATACACTCCTATATGTCAATAATCGTATCAAATAATGATTGATTGTACCCGTATAGCCCCCCACCCGCCCCATCAATTTTTGGTATGGGGGGGGGTTGAAACTACTAGGGTCTATATGTGAAAGTCATGGGTATAGAAAATGATTGGGAGGATGGGGGGGGGTTGTTCAATGTTATGCACTAGTAGTTGTGAATTCATTAAATCAAACTATTGATATGGGGAGGGGTGAGGGTTGTAACTTACATATAGATCCCATAGTTTCACATATATAACCATTTGGTGGTGGACAGGGAGAGGGGAGCGATGGGGGAGGGGGGGGGGTTTTGCTACATACAAATACAGGTAATGTTTATTGTAAATAATGTTTTTTTTGTCTCTCCCTCCCGAAACCCGAATAGGCGTACAACCAATCGGTACCGATTGGGACGTAATGACTAGTTTCGAGTTTCGCAAAATGGTTGAAAAGAAACCGTTTGTATCGACTGTCCAGTCTATCGATCAATTGGATGGCCAACCAGTCCTATCGTTATCCCTGTGCGATACTACCGGTTCGGAAGATCTATATATCGGTTCGATATTAGTGGACAAAGGTTTTGCCAAAAAACAGTAATCAAAACAAATAATAATAATATAATATTATTAGTCAAACAAATAGCTAATATAAATGCCAACAATTTATGCCAATTTTTTTTATGTTTAATTATTATTATTAATATATAATACACATTATAATTGTTGTTAATTTATGAGAGAAAAAATAGTTAATTTAATTTTTTTTAATTTTTGTTTTTTTTTCTTCTTTCAATACATTTTATGATTATTTATAATAATATTATTATTATTTCTCTATTTTTTCTCTCTCTTTCTCTATATGTTTATGTGTTATATTTAAAATACAGTATCTATTGATTGATTGATTGATTTATCCTTTTTTTTAAAACATATGATCTGAAAAATACTTGAGATTTTTTCTTCCTCTGTATTATTATTATAATTATAAATTATATGTATTTTATTATATATATAATAAGCAAATTTTATGTGATATTATAGATGCCTTTAATTATATATTAAATAATTATTATATATAAATATTATTATCAATATTATTATTATTATTACCTTACCATTTGATAGTCCATTGTTAGCAATAATAACAAACAACAAAACACAAAATGTTTTTTTTGTGACTAATTAATAATTTAATGGGTGATAAAAAATAATTTTTTCAATTTTATTATTTTTTGTTTGTTTGTAATAATTACAAATGCAATACATTATTATTATATATTATTTCTGTATATCGACACAAATTGATTGATTAGTTTAAGTGTTTTATTGAATTGTTTTTTATATTTAAAAAAATGTTTAATTTTCAGCTAAAAAAAGTGTGCCATTTGTTACTTTTATTATCATATAATTATTATTATTAAATTTATTCAATTAATATATACAATATATGTATTATCAATAAACTTATAATATATGTTTTTAAATGTTATTTTTTAAAAAGTTATTTATTTAATTTGAAAAATAAATTAATAAATAAAATAAAATACTTTATAATAATTAATTAATTATCTTTCTAATGGATATAATTAAAAAAATAAAATAATTAATTTAATCATATTTTCTATAAATTTAATTTATTTATGTCAATTAATATCTAAATTAGTATTAAATACTATTATGATCTATTTTTTTAAATTGCCATGTTAATTTTTATACTTTAATTTATATTATTATTAAATGACAATATTGATAGAAAAAAAATTAATTTAATTATTTTTATTAAAATAAAACTACCAATATAAAATACAAACATTATAAAATATATTTAATACATGTACTTGGACAATTTTTCGTTTTAAAAAAAATCAAACATTATGTACAGTACTATTAACACATTATTTGTGAATGGTACAATTTCAAAAAAAAAAGTTTAAATAACCTGTTTTTCTCATCACACATACACACTCACACATACACAAACACATACATACATACATACACACTCACACATACACAAACACATACATACATACATACATACATACATACATACATACATACATACACAAACACATAGTATGTATGTATGTATTACATACACACACATACACGCATACATATATACCTACACACATACACACGCATACATACACGCATACTAAATACATGCATGCATTACATACACATATACACACGCATACATATATACCTACACACACACACACATACACACAGTATATACCTACACACATAAACACGCATACATACACGCATACTAAATGCATGCCTACATACATACATACACGCATACATATATACCTACACACATACATACATGCATACATACATACCTACACACATACACACACACACTGATTGTTGTTATATACAGTGTGTGTGTGTGTGTGTGTGTGTGTGTGTGTGTGTGTGTGTGTGTGTGTTATTTGAATTCAAAAAATATATAATACACACAAACACACACAAAACTATACAAACGATTACAAGTCAGTGATTTATGTTTGTTTTGAACTGAAAATTAAAAAAAAAATAAAATTAAAAATAAAACCAGTTTTCTCATCACTCGCTCAATAGCATTGAATAGTATACTGTATGTATGTAAAATTTATGTATGTGTGTATGTGTGTGTGTGTGTGTGCTATGGGGGCCCACAAACAAGTGTTAATCCCATATATCATAGATCTATATATATATATATATATTTACATACAGTATGAAAGTCAATGTATTTAAGGAATTGTGTTAATAAGGAATGGATTTATAAAACAATTAATTATTTGTTAATTTGATAATCAATTTTTGTGATTAATATCTCATTAGAGAGCTATTTATATGGTCTCTCAAATGTAATCATCAATTTAATGCCAATTATTATCACAATAACACAATTGTGTCACAATTAAGACTACCTCTGGTTAACAATATTAAGAACGTAAACAATAGTTATTTTAAAAAATTATTAAAATTAAATTAACAAATAATTAATTAATTTTTAATTTTTTTAATACATAGTATATATCAATAAATAGATTAATTGAGAAAACAATGACTATTATTATGGTTTTGATTTACTTTTTAATTATTTAGTCATTTGATTACTAAAATTTAATTAAGGAATGGATAACAAAACGATTGAATGACAAGTTATTAGCCATAAATTATGACAAAAAATAATAAATTATTTTCAAATTGTTAAATACCTTAATACATCACATTAATGACCTTTTATATAACAATAACACTTTACAATATAATAATACCGTCTTACCAAAAATAATACCGACTTACCAAAAATAATACCGACTTACCAAAAATAATACCGACTTACCAAAAATAATACCGACTTACCAAAAATAATACCGACTTACCAAAAATAATACCGACTTACCAAAAATAATACCGACTTACCAAAAATAATACCGACTTACCAAAAATAATACCGACTTACCAAAAATAATACCGACTTACCAAAAATAATACCGACTTACCAAAAATAATACCGACTTACCAAAAATAATACCGACTTACCAAAAATAATACCGACTTACCAAAAATAATACCGACTTACCAAAACTAATACCGACTTTTATATCGAAATACCATGTTCCCCATAGAAATATTGTTTTAATTACCGTGTTCCCATAATTTTTTTCATTATAATTAAGATAATTTTAGGTACAAGGTATAATATAATTAATAATGTAACACGGTACTTATTTAAAAAACTATTTGCTGGGAAGACGGTATTAATTTTAAAAAATATTTTATGGGAAGACGGTACTTATTTAAAAAAACTATTTTTATGGGAATACGGTACTTATTTTTGAAAAAACCTATTTTTATGGGAAGATGATACTAATTTAAAAAAAACTGGGAAGACGGTACTAATTTTAAAAAATATTTTATGGGAAGACGGTACTTATTTAAAAAAACTATTTTTATGGGAATACGGTACTAATTTAAAATACATTTGTATGGGAACACTGATTATTTAAATATTAATATATATTGAATATTGAATATTGAATATTGATATATATATATATATATGTACTAATAGTATGGTTTTTATTTAGTCTTACGGTATAATGTTATAAATTTATAATCATTATATTTATTGACATTATTGATGTCCATTTTTGTTGTTATTAGTATTTTATATACTTTATATTAAAATAAATTCATTCTTTAAATGCATTACTTATCATATATATATACAGTGTTTAATTGACATCATATGTGTTGTACAGTCAGTGATGAGAGAAACATATCAATGATATATATTTAGCAACAGTTCTAACAATACATTGATTTCTATGTTTATTATGATTTGATTTGAATTATCATATAATAGATAATAATAATAATAATAATAATAATAATAATAATAATAATAATAATAATAATAATAATAATAATAATAATAATAATAATAATAATAATAATAATAATAATAACAAACAAATTGAGTGATCAATAGATAACAACAACAAACAGATGATATTGTTTTGATTACAACAACAACAACAACGACAACAACTGTTTGTAGTTATCATTAACAGGTGATTGTGTCCATCAATCCGTCCGCCCGCGCACTCACCCGATCATCGGGTGGCCACTCACTCAGTCACTCACTTACCCGATAATCATCGGATGGTCATTCACTCACTCACCCGATCATCATCGGTGGTCACTGAATCAATCACTCACCCGATCATTATCATTGCCGATCGGGTGGCCATTCATTGAGTCCAGACATTGGTGTCAATCAATCAAATGGCCAAATGATTCAGCGATAGATTCAGTGCAGCAAAAGCTGACAACAGTTTGAATGATAAGACAAGACAACGACTATAGACAACAATCATGGCTTATAGACATCATCGGAAAAAACCGATGTCATTGTCATCATCAGCGGCAATGACCGCCACCAACACCACCGACGACGACGATAACATTAACAACAATTATGCCAACACTTGTACTGACACTGGATTGTTGTCTAACACTTCCAATATCATCGGCAACACCAACAACAACAACAACGAGTTAGTGATGATGATGACCAATGGCCACAACGATGCCGCACCCGTCAAATGTGTTGAATTGATCCGCACCAGTCACGGCTTCGGGTTTACACTATCGGGTAATTCAATTTGATTTGATTATCCAATGAAAAAAACTTATTGATAATTGTTTTGTTTGTTTTTTGTTTTTTAAAAAAAGGCGAAAAACCATCGATACTGACCCACGTGAAGGGCGGCGCCCACTGGAGTGGTCTACGAAGCGGCGACTACTTGATGACCGTACAGGACAGGGATGTGTTTCATATGTCGCACGAATCGATTGTCGAACTAATAAAGCGTACGTCAGGTCCGCTTAGGCTACAGTGTCTGCCATCGGACGGCAACTATTTGAGCAGTAATACCGATGATGACGATGACGGCGACGATGATGATTGCGATGATAACAATGGACAGGTAGTACAACAAGCAGATCGTCATCATCATCAGCATCATCGGCAAAGGTGGTCATTGCGACAGCAGTCGCACCCAATGATGACTACATCATCGACTCATAGACCTCATCATAACCACCACCACCATCACAGCCATCATCAACAGCAGCAACAACAACATAGTAGACAACATCATACGCAAAGACATCAGCGCCATAGATATCGCAACGATATGTACGCCACAAATACTGCAACAATAGGTGGCGTCGGCGGAGGCGGCTATGATCGGGTACTTATCGACGGTACGGCTTTTATGGCTAATAATAATACTGGTGGCCGACGTAGCGCTATGTCAACTACTGGACCTAATAATAGTCATCATCCGAGACATCACAATCATCACCAGAAACACATCCATAATCATCATAATAACGGCAAGACTAATGAGCCGCTAATTGATCTACTATTAGAGCAAAAGTTGTCCAAAATTAGTAGTAAATGCAATCAAAGTGGTGAAAGCGATTCAAGCAACTCATATAAAACTAATTCATTGAATACCATATATAATAATAATAATAATACTAATAATATTAATAATACAAAAACATTAAAGTCAACTGCCATTATGGGTACCGGTGGTGGTGGCGGCGGTACTAGTGATTGCCTACAACAAAGAGGCACCGGTGGTGGTGCTGGTAGTAGTAGTCTACCGTCACCGCCCACACGACATATGACCAGCGATAGGGACATGGATTTACCCGCCGATCGGCAATTAAATGCAAGTTTTTGTTTGTTTGTTTGTTATTATTTTATTTTATTATTATATCATATTTTTTTTTGTTTTATATAAAATTAATGACTTTATTATCTATTATCTTACAATAACTATAATAATAATAATATGTATTTTAAATAAATTGTTTTAATTACAGGATATTTATCTAAACAATCGATATTTTATTTTCTATTTTTCATTTTAAATATTATTTGGTTTAATTTTACATATTTTTTTTGTCTATCAAAAAAAACTAATTAACTTTTTATTATTATTATAAATGATATGTTTGTATGAAATTGAAAAATCTGTTTGAATTGAATACAATTTTTTTAAAAACTTTTTTTTTCTTATAAATAGTTGTAAACTGTATTTATTAATATACTTTTATATTTATCGCTGGTATTTGATAGGAGTGGGGGGAGGGAAGGGAGGGCTAAAATAATATTATTTATAACATATATATATATACATGTATTTATTATTTATATATATATATAATAATTGATTGAGTTTTATGGGTCAAACAGGGGTTTTACGGGCGTCTAATACACTGTGTAACTACAGGTAGTTAGTGGTAATATACAGTATATACTGTAATAGTAGTTCAATGTATTATTATTACCCAATTTACTGTATTATTATTATTATTATTATTATTATTATCTGATAGTATCACACAATATATATATAATAAATACAGTTTAATATATAATATAAATGACACTTTAAAAAAATCAGTTTTTCAAGTTTTAACTTCTCTATCAATTGAATATTTAAATTTTGAAAAATAAATTTTTAGTTATTTATTTAAAAAATTCTAAAAAATGTTAGTTTTATTAGTTTTTTAAGCATTTTATCTAAACATTTATCACATAAAAAACAGTTAGTTATTTGAATTATTTAACCACTAATTGCTAGATATATATATACAGTATATATATATATATAATTTATACGTATATAACATGTTATTTTTTTGCATAACTTATTTTTTTGCAAAAATTTATTTTATATATCTATTTATAGGTCTTATTAATATTTATATAAATTTTTTAAATAAATTAATTATTTAATTTATCAATTTTTTAATTTTTTTTTTTGATGATTAATATTAATGTTTAGTTAGTTAGTAGCACTTGACTTGAGGCTACTATTAAAATAGATATAATAAATATCATTAATAAGTATTATATTTTAAAATAGTTAATAATTCAATAATTATTTAATTAACTACTATATCGTATATAGACTGAAATGTATGGCCAATCTAGTAGTTCAATGGCCACCATTACCAACGGCAACGGCGGTGGCATCGGTGGCCAAGATTTACACTCGCGGGCACTGTTGCGGGCCGTTGTCGGCTATCTCGGGACAGTCGATACGCCCGCCGACAGTCATCTCGATTCGACGATTGTTACCGATTGTCTGAGACTGATGGGCGTCACCGATACGGCCGCCAGCTTAGCCGCCGCCGCCACCGCCCCCCATTCGCCTATGCAGACAACCATATTGTTGGCCATATATCAGGATTGTATCCAATTGGTGGACATAATGGGCCGATCGGTGGCCAAGTTTGGCGCCGATAGTCTGAAATGGTGCGGCATTTGTTCGGATAATAGAAAATATTTTGCAATCATTATGTCATCAAATACTACATCAATTCAAAACCATAATAATAATAATAATAATAATAATTGTTATTCATGTCATGTATTTCATACAAATCTATCGACACATGAAACCCATTACAAGATAGCGCACAACTTTGGCATCAAATGCACATTAGATCCCATTAGTACTCATTGTCTTGAATTTCCAGGTAATTACTAACTAATAATAATAATAATAATAATAATAATAATAATAATAATAATAATAATAATAATAATTATATTTTTTGTTTGTTTCGCACAGAGAGTTCCGATTCAATACTACGAATGATTGTCGGTCTCTATCGGCAAACAGTCGGCTGCGCGCCGCTCGCATTGACCACCAATGTCAGCGCCAGCAGTACTATGAACAGCGGCAGCAACAGTGACAGCGGTATTACCGAAGAAAATAGCCGATCACCTGATACGGCTGCCAACAACAATAATCTTCATTTACATCATAATCATCGCCATAACCATCAACAACAACAACATCATAACCATCATCAGCATCCACCACAACATCATCAACATATCGGTCGCAATAAGTCATATAATAGCCAACGACTAGATGGACAGCTCGACGCGGCTAACGTTCGGCAAACTGTTAGCAAATATCTGAGTTTGACTGGTATTGGCCATCACCAGCACCCGAACGCTGCAACACAACAACAACAACACGGATTAGAAACGGAATCGAGTCTTAATAATAATGATGACAATAATGGCATTAATGGCAATACAAACGATAAGAATAGTCATCCATTACCGCCAGTGCCTACCGAATCATCGGCAGCGTCGGCCAGCGATACGACTACTATTGTTTCATCGAAAAGCGCTACCGATTGGTCAAAACCGGCCACACTGTCCAAAGAGAATCTCGAACTGAACAATGAGATTACATCCTCTGGTTGTTGTTATCATCTATTAGATGCTAAGTTGTCGTCGTCGATGAGCTTAGAAGGTATAGCTCCGATGTCCGATACGGTGTCGGCTGCCAGCGCTAGTGTAGTATCCGAACGACCCGTCGATGTCGGTTGGGTTGGCGGTTGGGCTCAACATTTCGAAAAACTATTGAACGATTGTGTAGGCGTTCGGGCGTTCACTGAATTTCTGAAAAAAGAGTACAGCTATGAAAACCTACAGTTTTGGTTGTCGTGTCAAAAGTACAAACAGTTAGCGACGACGGCGGTTACCGACAACAACGACCCGACTGAACAACTAAAACTTGAAGCTAAACTGATATACGATCAGCATCTGGCCAGCGGTGCACCCGAACCGGTCAACATTGATGGCCGATCGCGGCTTATTGTCGAATCAACATTGGACGACCCGACGCCGAATCTGTTCGAAACGGCTGAGAAACAGATCTACAGTCTGATGAAGTTTGACTGTTATCAGCGGTTCCTGAAATCGGATATTTTCAAAGAGTGTGTAGCACTGGAACTACAGGGCAAACCGTTACCCTACGAGACGACCAGCGGTGGTAACTTCAACGCTGCGCAACTGAATACTATTAAACCGAAAAAGCGGTCATTCATACCGTGGCATCGAATCCGTACGTCGAAAGCCGAAAAACAAATGCTAAAACAGGCAAACGCTAAGCACACGTACATCAGGTGCAAGTCTACCGAACCGATTGCCAGCAACAAGTCGTCCGATTTTACTGGTTCGCAGTCATCGCTGACCACCGCTACCAGTGATCGTACAAACGGCGGCGGTTGCGGTGGTGATGGTAGCGGTGGCCGACAAAACATGGCTTTTATGTCGAAATCCAATGAATCGTTGAATAAATTAGCGTCAATACCACCACTACAGCCGACACCGACAACAACAACAACAACAACAATCAGCTCACACTCGACAAACAGCAGCAACGGTGGACACAATTGCCATCACAACTGTACCAACAATGACTGTCATCTATTGTGTGTTATACTACCCGATCGGTCGCAATCGTTTGTGCCAGTGGTCGACGGCCAGACTGTCGGCCAAATGGTCGACAATTTACTAGAAAAACGCGGACTAAACTATACGGCTTTCGATGCGTTTATAACTACATGCGATAAAGTAATGAATGATTTTTTAAAAATATATATTACCGAAAATTTCGGTAATTTTTCTAATTTCTAATTTATTTTTTCCACTGTAATTGTTAGGCACTGGACCCGAATGTCCAGTTGTCGACACTCGGCTGCAATGAACTACGAGTTGAACAGCGAGTACTGTTTCAAATTGATTTTCCTAATCGCGAGATAATTGGCATCAAATCGCGTACATCCAAGTCTAGCGGCGATGTTTTCGGTCCACTTTTGGCCAAATATGGCTACAAATTGGAACACATTGTCCTACAAATTGTATGTTTTTTTTGTGTATTACCGGTAATTTTATTTATTCGGGGATTAATTGTTCGGGTATTCATTTTATCAATTTCAGGCCAACTCATCGCAAACAGTTACCAACGATATGCCTATTACTAGATTGGATAACCAGCGGGTGATTGTCAGCATCAGCGACGATCTGGAAGAGTGGGGCTGGGATTGTGCATCCAGTCGGCTGCCGGTTGCCGTCGCCGGGGAGTCCAGAGGAGGTGTAGGTGCGGGTACTCCGCAACTGCAGCGACCGCCGCCGCTGCCGCCCATACGTGTCTTAAGTGACTCGTTATTGGAAAAATCTATGGACGACGACGACGACAACGATGGCGATGACTGCTCTTCTAATCATAACAACAATGCTGATGAAAAAGAGAACCTACCGGTGCTGATGCTAACACCAGCACCACTGCCACAGCAGGCGTTGCCCAATACTCCTGCAGACAGCAGTCGACAGATGATTACCGCCGCCGCCAATAACCCGTCGGTGACGGCAAACATTAGCTTCAGCGACGACACTAAATCGGAACAATTTTTTCGTGACCTACTACTGGCCGCACAGCATATGCCCGTCCAATCGCCGTTAAAATCTAGTGCCAAATGTCAAGTGCCTAACATTGCCGCCGCCCCTAACCATAGGTTATCATCAGTCAATACAAAGTGTCTAAACAGCAATAATTATGGCAACACTGCTATTGATCCGAACAACATCGCCGAATCAATGGCCACTTCTTGCGAGTCACCTTCGGTGACCTATAGCCGTCACCAAACAGCTACCGCTGATCGACCGCTACCACTGCCGCCGCCGCATATTATCAACGACATTGATCTGGACGCCACTCTACGTAGTATTCAATTGTATCATAATTTGCGCCAAAACTCGGACAAAACGCACAGCCATTCACAACAAATGACCGGTTCGTCGCCAATCGATTGCCGATTGAATACATCGGTACCAAACTTTACGCCGCCTCAACCGCCCGTACGGACAACCATAATGCCAGCAGCGATGACCAAACACTATAAACCTATTTCCGGCGGCGGCGGCGGCGGCTTACAATTGGCGCCTCCGTTGCCGCCCAAACCCAGCGATATTGTCCGGGGAGAACGGGGACCGCCGCCACCCAGACCTCCCAGTTCACGGCAAAGCATCTATACTGTGGTGGCAAACAATGGTGGCGTCGGTACCGCCGCCGCCCCCGCCAACAACATGAGTACACTAATTAAAAATTTGGACAAAACTATTGAATCAAATGTGATTTTTGTTTGAAATTTTGTTTGTATTCACAAAAATATATATATAATTATTATTATTGTTTGAAAACAATGAGATTATTAATTGTATTATTATTATTATTATTATATTTTAAGAGATTATAATTACCGGTATATATATATATATATATTTATATAATATATATATATATATATTAATACCTGCCTTTAAATACAGAAATATATATCAAATTAAATATAACTATATTATATTAGTTATACTTATTATAAATTATATAAATCAAGTGTTATTATATTATTTGTAAATAAAATAATCTTTTAATTATAAATTTATTTATTTAATTAATTATTATTTGCATATTTTGGACTAACCCTACAGACAAAACAAAATACGTTAAATAAATTAATTAGTTTTAATATCATTGTATGTATTATACATACCATTTAATTAAATTTATTGCAAAATTATAAATAAAATTATAATCAGGGTAAAAAAATAGCTGACATAAACAATCGATGCCAATTTTGAAAAATGCCTGCATATATTTTGTCATACCCTGGGCATTTATTATTATGTGGTGACATGTTATTTTAGTTTAGGTAAGCTTGGTTTGGTTAATTTAGGGAAGTTAGGTTAGATTAAATTAGGTTAAATTAGGTTAGGTTTTGTTAATTTAGGTTAGGATAGGATAGGATAGGTTAGGTTAGGTTAGGTTAGGTTAGGTTAGGTTAGGTTAGGTTAGGTTAAATTAGGTTAGGTTATGATAGGTTAGGTTAGGTTAGGTTAGGTTAGGTTAGGTTAGGTTAAATTAGGTTAGGTTATGATAGGTTAGGTTATGTTAAATTATGTTAGGTTTTGTAAATTTAGGTGAGATAATAGATAAGATAATAGATAATATAATAGATAAGATAATAGATAAGATAATAGATAAGATAATAGATAAGATAATAGATAAGATAATAGATAAGATAATAGATAATAGATAATAGATAAGATRAGATAAGAGATAAGATGAGAGATAAGATAAGATAAGAGATAAAATAATAGATAAGATAATAGATAAGATAATAGATAAGATAAGATGAGAGATAAGATGAGAGATAAGATGAGAGATAAGATAGAGATAAGAGAGATAAGATAAGAGATAAGATAAGAGATAAGATAAGAGATAAGAGAAGAGATAAGAGAAGATAAAGAGATAAAGAGAGAGAGATAAGAGAAGATAAGAGATAAGATAAAGAGATAAGATAAGAGATAAGATACAGATAAGATATAGATAAGATATAGATAAGATATAGATAAGATAAGATAAGATAAGATAAGATAAGATAAGATAAGATAAGATAAGATAAGAAGATAAGAAGATAAGAAGATAAGAAGATAAGAAGATAAGATAAGATAAGAAGATAAGAAGATAAGAAGATAAGATAAGAAGATAAGAAGATAAGAAGATAAGAAGATAAGAAGATAAGAAGATAAGAAGATAAGAAGATAAGAAGATAAGAAGATAAGAAGATAAGAAGATAAGAAGATAAGAAGATAAGAAGATAAGAAGATAAGAAGATAAGAGATAAGATAATAGATAAGAGAAGAGATAAGATAAGTTGAGATAAGATAAGAGATAAGATAAGTTGAGATAAGATAAGAGAAGATAAGAGATAAGATGAGAAGATAAGAGATAAGAAAGATATAATAAATACAATGAGATATAATAAATACAATAAGATATAATAAATACAATAAGAGATTTAATAAATACAATAAGAGATTTGATAAAAGTAAGATTCTTTTTATAAATCAATTTAAAAATCTTAGATTATTTGAGATTAAATTTATTAACAACATTAATTTACTTGTATTCATTCTATATTATTTATTTTACTTATTAGTTTTGTTAAACTTATATTACAATATGTGTCAATATGTTACAAATTGGCATCGATTATTTATGCCGGCTTTTTTAAAAACCCTGATAATAATTTTTAATTTTTTTTATTTTTCAATTATCATAATTAAATAATTATACAAATGTATAATACAGACAATGATCTAAAAAAATTGTCTATTTTCCAGATATATACTACTGTTATATACTATTTAGATGTTTAATACATTTACAAAAAATATAATACATGATCAAAATCATTAATTATTTAGTATTAATTATTTAATTATTAATTATTTAATTATTAATTATTTAATTATTAATTACACATTAAATATTTTATATATTAACGTTTATTTTGTTTCTACTATATATATATATATATATTACTAATAAAATAATAAATAATTGTCCATGATGCAATGCAGAAAATTGAAAAATTTTAGACTATCTCACTTGTAAATAGTACTAATCAATCGATTTGATTATATAATAATTACAAACGTTATTACTGTCTCTAAAAATATAACTATTGTTTGAATGTATTATTAATTATACGGTTTATTGGGTACCAAATCATCGCTTAAAGTGTATTCACAATACATGTGTACTATATGTATGGGTGGGGAGGGGTTTACCCTTAATACCGATATTTATTGGTTTTTTCTATTAATTTTAATTTATTCGGGTATTAATTGTTATTTTTCATTTATTATTACCGTAGGCCAACTCATCGCAAACAGTTACCAACGATATGCCTATTACTAGATTGGATAACCAGCGGGTGATTGTCAGCATCAGCGACGATCTGGAAGAGTGGGGCTGGGATTGTGCATCCAGTCGGCTGCCGGTTGCCGTCGCCGGGGAGTCCAGAGGAGGTGTAGGTGCGGGTACTCCGCAACTGCAGCGACCGCCGCCGCTGCCGCCCATACGTGTCTTAAGTGACTCGTTATTGGAAAAATCTATGGACGACGACAACGATGACGACAACGATGGCGATGACTGCTCTTCTAATCATAACAACAATGCTGATGAAAAAGAGAACCTACCGGTGCTGATGCTAACACCAGCACCACTGCCACAGCAGGCGTTGCCCAATACTCCTGCAGACAGCAGTCGACAGATGATTACCGCCGCCGCCGCCAATAACCCGTCGGTGACGGCAAACATTAGCTTCAGCGACGACACTAAATCGGAACAATTTTTTCGTGACCTACTACTGGCCGCACAGCATATGCCCGTCCAATCGCCGTTAAAATCTAGTGCCAAATGTCAAGTGCCTAACATTGCCGCCGCCCCTAACCATAGGTTATCATCAGTCAATACAAAGTGTCTAAACAGCAATAATTATGGCAACACTGCTATTGATCCGAACAACATCGCCGAATCAATGGCCACTTCTTGCGAGTCACCTTCGGTGACCTATAGCCGTCACCAAACAGCTACCGCTGATCGACCGCTACCACTGCCGCCGCCGCATATTATCAACGACATTGATCTGGACGCCACTCTACGTAGTATTCAATTGTATCATAATTTGCGCCAAAACTCGGACAAAACGCACAGCCATTCACAACAAATGACCGGTTCGTCGCCAATCGATTGCCGATTGAATACATCGGTACCAAACTTTACGCCGCCTCAACCGCCCGTACGGACAACCATAATGCCAGCAGCGATGACCAAACACTATAAACCTATTTCCGGCGGCGGCGGCTTACAATTGGCGCCTCCGTTGCCGCCCAAACCCAGCGATATTGTCCGGGGAGAACGGGGACCGCCGCCACCCAGACCTCCCAGTTCACGGCAAAGCATCTATACTGTGGTGGCAAACAATGGTGGCGTCGGTACCGCCGCCGCCCCCGCCAACAACATGAGTACACTAATTAAAAATTTGGACAAAACTATTGAATCAAATGTGATTTTTGTTTGAAAATTTTGTTTGTATTCACAAAAATATATATATAATTATTATTGTTGTTTGAAAACAATGAGATTATTAATTGTATTATTATTATTATTATTATATTTTAAGAGATTATAATTACCGGTATATATATATATATATTTTTATACTAATATATATATATATATATTAATACCTGCCTTTAAATACAGAAATATATATCAAATTAAATATAACTATATTATATTAGTTATACTTATTATAAATTATATAAATCAAGTGTTATTATATTATTTGTAAATAAAATAATCTTTTAATTATAAATTTATTTATTTAATTAATTATTATTTGCATATTTTGGACTAACCCTACAGACAAAACAAAATACGTTAAATAAATTAATTAGTTTTAATATCATTGTATGTATTATACATACCATTTAATTAAATTTATTGCAAAATTATAAATAAAATTATAATCAGGGTAAAAAAATAGCTGACATAAACAATCGATGCCAATTTTGAAAAATGCCTGCATATATTTTGTCATACCCTGGGCATTTATTATTATGTGGTGACATGTTATTTTAGTTTAGGTAAGCTTGGTTTGGTTAATTTAGGGAAGTTAGGTTAGATTAAATTAGGTTAAATTAGGTTAGGTTTTGTTAATTTAGGTTAGGATAGGATAGGATAGGTTAGGTTAGGTTAGGTTAGGTTAGGTTAGGTTAGGTTAGGTTAGGTTAAATTAGGTTAGGTTATGATAGGTTAGGTTAGGTTAGGTTAGGTTAGGTTAGGTTAGGTTAAATTAGGTTAGGTTATGATAGGTTAGGTTATGTTAAATTATGTTAGGTTTTGTAAATTTAGGTGAGATAATAGATAAGATAATAAGCAAGATAATAGATAAAATAATAGATAAGATAATAGATAAGATAATAGATAAGATAATAGATAAGATAACAGATAAGATARTAGATAATAGATAATAGATAAGATGAGATAAGAGATAAGATGAGAGATAAGATAAGATAAGAGATAAAATAATAGATAAGATAATAGATAAGATAAGAGAAGATAAGAGATAAGATGAGAGATAAGATGAGAGATAAGATRAGAGATAAGATAAGAGATAAGATAAGAGATAAGATAAGAGATAAGATAAKAGATAAGAKAAGAGATAAGAGAAGATAAGAGAAGATAAGAGATAAGATAAGAGATAAGATAAGATAAGAGATAAGATAAAGATAAGATAAGATAAGATAAGATAAGATAAGATAAGATAAAGATAAGATAAGATAAGATAAGATAAGAGATAAGAGATAAGAGAAGATAAGAGAAGATAAGATAAGAGATAAGATAAGATAAGAGATAAGAGATAAGATGAGAAGATAAGAAGATAAGAAGATAAGAAGATAAGAAGATAAGAAGATAAGAAGATAAGAAGATAAGAAGATAAGAAGATAAGAAGATAAGAAGATAAGAAGATAAAGATAAGAAGATAAGAGATAAGAAGAGATAAGATAAGAGATAAGATAAGAGGTAAGATAAGAGATAAGATAAGAGATAAGATGAGATAAGATAATAGATAAGATAAGAGATAAGAAAGATATAATAAATAGAATGAGATATAATAAATACAATAAGATATAATAAATACAATAAGAGATTTAATAAATACAATAAGAGATTTGATTAAAGTAAGATTCTTTTTATAAATCAATTTAAAAATCTTAGATTATTTGAGATTAAATTTATTAACAACATTAATTTACTTGTATTCATTCTATATTATTTATTTTACTTATTAGTTTTGTTAAACTTATATTACAATATGTGTCAATATGTTACAAATTGGCATCGATTATTTATGCCGGCTTTTTTAAAAACCCTGATAATAATTTCTAATTTTTTTTATTTTTCAATTATCATAATTAAATAATTATACAAATGTATAATACAGACAATGATCTAAAAAAAATTGTCTATTTTCCAGATATATACTAATGTTATATACTATTTAGATGTTTAATACATTTACAAAAAATATAATACATGATCAAAATCATTAATTATTTAGTATTAATTATTTAATTATTAATTATTTAATTATTAATTATTTAATTATTAATTACACATTAAATATTTTATATATTAACGTTTATTTTGTTTCTACTATATATATATATATATATTACTAATAAAATAATAAATAATTGTCCATGATGCAATGCAGAAAATTGAAAAATTTTAGACTATCTCACTTGTAAATAGTACTAATCAATCGATTTGATTATATAATAATTACAAACGTTATTACTGTCTCTAAAAATATAACTATTGTTTGAATGTATTATTAATTATACGGTTTATTGGGTACCAAATCATCGCTTAAAGTGTATTCACAATACATGTGTACTATATGTATGGGTGGGGAGGGGTTTACCCTTAATACCGATATTTATTGGTTTTTTCTATTAATTTTAATTTATTCGGGTATTAATTGTTATTTTTCATTTATTATTACCGTAGGCCAACTCATCGCAAACAGTTACCAACGATATGCCTATTACTAGATTGGATAACCAGCGGGTGATTGTCAGCATCAGCGACGATCTGGAAGAGTGGGGCTGGGATTGTGCATCCAGTCGGCTGCCGGTTGCCGTCGCCGGGGAGTCCAGAGGAGGTGTAGGTGCGGGTACTCCGCAACTGCAGCGACCGCCGCCGCTGCCGCCCATACGTGTCTTAAGTGACTCGTTATTGGAAAAATCTATGGACGACGACAACGATGACGACAACGATGGCGATGACTGCTCTTCTAATCATAACAACAATGCTGATGAAAAAGAGAACCTACCGGTGCTGATGCTAACACCAGCACCACTGCCACAGCAGGCGTTGCCCAATACTCCTGCAGACAGCAGTCGACAGATGATTACCGCCGCCGCCGCCAATAACCCGTCGGTGACGGCAAACATTAGCTTCAGCGACGACACTAAATCGGAACAATTTTTTCGTGACCTACTACTGGCCGCACAGCATATGCCCGTCCAATCGCCGTTAAAATCTAGTGCCAAATGTCAAGTGCCTAACATTGCCGCCGCCCCTAACCATAGGTTATCATCAGTCAATACAAAGTGTCTAAACAGCAATAATTATGGCAACACTGCTATTGATCCGAACAACATCGCCGAATCAATGGCCACTTCTTGCGAGTCACCTTCGGTGACCTATAGCCGTCACCAAACAGCTACCGCTGATCGACCGCTACCACTGCCGCCGCCGCATATTATCAACGACATTGATCTGGACGCCACTCTACGTAGTATTCAATTGTATCATAATTTGCGCCAAAACTCGGACAAAACGCACAGCCATTCACAACAAATGACCGGTTCGTCGCCAATCGATTGCCGATTGAATACATCGGTACCAAACTTTACGCCGCCTCAACCGCCCGTACGGACAACCATAATGCCAGCAGCGATGACCAAACACTATAAACCTATTTCCGGCGGCGGCGGCTTACAATTGGCGCCTCCGTTGCCGCCCAAACCCAGCGATATTGTCCGGGGAGAACGGGGACCGCCGCCACCCAGACCTCCCAGTTCACGGCAAAGCATCTATACTGTGGTGGCAAACAATGGTGGCGTCGGTACCGCCGCCGCCCCCGCCAACAACATGAGTACACTAATTAAAAATTTGGACAAAACTATTGAATCAAATGTGATTTTTGTTTGAAATTTTGTTTGTATTCACAAAAATATATATATAATTATTATTATTGTTTGAAAACAATGAGATTATTAATTGTATTATTATTATTATTATTATATTTTTAAGAGATTATAATTACCGGTATATATATATATATATTTTTATACTAATATATATATATATATATTAATACCTGCCTTTAAATACAGAAATATATATCAAATTAAATATAACTATATTATATTAGTTATACTTATTATAAATTATATAAATCAAGTGTTATTATATTATTTGTAAATAAAATAATCTTTTAATTATAAATTTATTTATTTAATTAATTATTATTTGCATATTTTGGACTAACCCTACAGACAAAACAAAATACGTTAAATAAATTAATTAGTTTTAATATCATTGTATGTATTATACATACCATTTAATTAAATTTATTGCAAAATTATAAATAAAATTATAATCAGGGTAAAAAAATAGCTGACATAAACAATCGATGCCAATTTTGAAAAATGCCTGCATATATTTTGTCATACCCTGGGCATTTATTATTATGTGGTGACATGTTATTTTAGTTTAGGTAAGCTTGGTTTGGTTAATTTAGGGAAGTTAGGTTAGATTAAATTAGGTTAAATTAGGTTAGGTTTTGTTAATTTAGGTTAGGATAGGATAGGATAGGTTAGGTTAGGTTAGGTTAGGTTAGGTTAGGTTAGGTTAGGTTAGGTTAAATTAGGTTAGGTTATGATAGGTTAGGTTAGGTTAGGTTAGGTTAGGTTAGGTTAGGTTAAATTAGGTTAGGTTATGATAGGTTAGGTTATGTTAAATTATGTTAGGTTTTGTAAATTTAGGTGAGATAATAGATAAGATAATAAGCAAAATAATAGATAAAATAATAGATAAGATAATAGATAAGATAATAGATAAGATAATAGATAAGATAACAGATAAGATAATAGATAATAGATAATAGATAAGATGAGATAAGAGATAAGATGAGAGATAAGATAAGATAAGAGATAAAATAATAGATAAGATAATAGATAAGATAAGAGAAGATAAGAGATAAGATGAGAGATAAGATGAGAGATAAGATAAGAGATAAGATAAGAGATAAGATAAGAGATAAGATAAGAGATAAGATAAGAGATAAGAGAAGAGATAAGAGAAGATAAGAGAAGATAAGAGATAAGATAAGAGATAAGATAAGAGATAAGATAAGAGATAAGATAAGATAAGATAAGATAAGATAAGATAAGATAAGATAAGATAAGATAAGAGAAGAGATAAGAGATAAGAGAAGATAAGAGAAGATAAGATAAGAGATAAGATAAGTTGAGATAAGAGATAAGATGAGAAGATAAGAAGATAAGAAGATAAGAAGATAAGAAGATAAGAAGATAAGAAGATAAGAAGATAAGAAGATAAGAAGATAAGAAGATAAGAAGATAAGAAGATAAGAGATAAGATAATAGATAAGAGAAGAGATAAGATAAGTTGAGATAAGATAAGAGATAAGATAAGTTGAGATAAGATAAGAGAAGATAAGAGATAAGATGAGAAGATAAGAGATAAGAAAGATATAATAAATACAATGAGATATAATAAATACAATAAGATATAATAAATACAATAAGAGATTTAATAAATACAATAAGAGATTTGATAAAAGTAAGATTCTTTTTATAAATCAATTTAAAAATCTTAGATTATTTGAGATTAAATTTATTAACAACATTAATTTACTTGTATTCATTCTATATTATTTATTTTACTTATTAGTTTTGTTAAACTTATATTACAATATGTGTCAATATGTTACAAATTGGCATCGATTATTTATGCCGGCTTTTTTAAAAACCCTGATAATAATTTTTAATTTTTTTTATTTTTCAATTATCATAATTAAATAATTATACAAATGTATAATACAGACAATGATCTAAAAAAATTGTCTATTTTCCAGATATATACTACTGTTATATACTATTTAGATGTTTAATACATTTACAAAAAATATAATACATGATCAAAATCATTAATTATTTAGTATTAATTATTTAATTATTAATTATTTAATTATTAATTATTTAATTATTAATTACACATTAAATATTTTATATATTAACGTTTATTTTGTTTCTACTATATATATATATATATATTACTAATAAAATAATAAATAATTGTCCATGATGCAATGCAGAAAATTGAAAAATTTTAGACTATCTCACTTGTAAATAGTACTAATCAATCGATTTGATTATATAATAATTACAAACGTTATTACTGTCTCTAAAAATATAACTATTGTTTGAATGTATTATTAATTATACGGTTTATTGGGTACCAAATCATCGCTTAAAGTGTATTCACAATACATGTGTACTATATGTATGGGTGGGGAGGGGTTTACCCTTAATACCGATATTTATTGGTTTTTTCTATTAATTTTAATTTATTCGGGTATTAATTGTTATTTTTCATTTATTATTACCGTAGGCCAACTCATCGCAAACAGTTACCAACGATATGCCTATTACTAGATTGGATAACCAGCGGGTGATTGTCAGCATCAGCGACGATCTGGAAGAGTGGGGCTGGGATTGTGCATCCAGTCGGCTGCCGGTTGCCGTCGCCGGGGAGTCCAGAGGAGGTGTAGGTGCGGGTACTCCGCAACTGCAGCGACCGCCGCCGCTGCCGCCCATACGTGTCTTAAGTGACTCGTTATTGGAAAAATCTATGGACGACGACAACGATGACGACAACGATGGCGATGACTGCTCTTCTAATCATAACAACAATGCTGATGAAAAAGAGAACCTACCGGTGCTGATGCTAACACCAGCACCACTGCCACAGCAGGCGTTGCCCAATACTCCTGCAGACAGCAGTCGACAGATGATTACCGCCGCCGCCGCCAATAACCCGTCGGTGACGGCAAACATTAGCTTCAGCGACGACACTAAATCGGAACAATTTTTTCGTGACCTACTACTGGCCGCACAGCATATGCCCGTCCAATCGCCGTTAAAATCTAGTGCCAAATGTCAAGTGCCTAACATTGCCGCCGCCCCTAACCATAGGTTATCATCAGTCAATACAAAGTGTCTAAACAGCAATAATTATGGCAACACTGCTATTGATCCGAACAACATCGCCGAATCAATGGCCACTTCTTGCGAGTCACCTTCGGTGACCTATAGCCGTCACCAAACAGCTACCGCTGATCGACCGCTACCACTGCCGCCGCCGCATATTATCAACGACATTGATCTGGACGCCACTCTACGTAGTATTCAATTGTATCATAATTTGCGCCAAAACTCGGACAAAACGCACAGCCATTCACAACAAATGACCGGTTCGTCGCCAATCGATTGCCGATTGAATACATCGGTACCAAACTTTACGCCGCCTCAACCGCCCGTACGGACAACCATAATGCCAGCAGCGATGACCAAACACTATAAACCTATTTCCGGCGGCGGCGGCTTACAATTGGCGCCTCCGTTGCCGCCCAAACCCAGCGATATTGTCCGGGGAGAACGGGGACCGCCGCCACCCAGACCTCCCAGTTCACGGCAAAGCATCTATACTGTGGTGGCAAACAATGGTGGCGTCGGTACCGCCGCCGCCCCCGCCAACAACATGAGTACACTAATTAAAAATTTGGACAAAACTATTGAATCAAATGTGATTTTTGTTTGAAATTTTGTTTGTATTCACAAAAATATATATATAATTATTATTATTGTTTGAAAACAATGAGATTATTAATTGTATTATTATTATTATTATTATATTTTTAAGAGATTATAATTACCGGTATATATATATTTTTATACTAATATATATATATATATATATATATACAGTATATTAATACCTGCCTTTAAATACAGAAATATATATCAAATTAAATATAACTATATTATATTAGTTATACTTATTATAAATTATATAAATCAAGTGTTATTATATTATTTGTAAATAAAATAATCTTTTAATTATAAATTTATTTATTTAATTAATTATTATTTGCATATTTTGGACTAACCCTACAGACAAAACAAAATACGTTAAATAAATTAATTAGTTTTAATATCATTGTATGTATTATACATACCATTTAATTAAATTTATTGCAAAATTATAAATAAAATTATAATCAGGGTAAAAAAATAGCTGACATAAACAATCGATGCCAATTTTGAAAAATGCCTGCATATATTTTGTCATACCCTGGGCATTTATTATTATGTGGTGACATGTTATTTTAGTTTAGGTAAGCTTGGTTTGGTTAATTTAGGGAAGTTAGGTTAGATTAAATTAGGTTAAATTAGGTTAGGTTTTGTTAATTTAGGTTAGGATAGGATAGGATAGGTTAGGTTAGGTTAGGTTAGGTTAGGTTAGGTTAGGTTAGGTTAGGTTAAATTAGGTTAGGTTATGATAGGTTAGGTTAGGTTAGGTTAGGTTAGGTTAGGTTAGGTTAAATTAGGTTAGGTTATGATAGGTTAGGTTATGTTAAATTATGTTAGGTTTTGTAAATTTAGGTGAGATAATAGATAAGATAATAAGCAAAATAATAGATAAAATAATAGATAAGATAATAGATAAGATAATAGATAAGATAATAGATAAGATAACAGATAAGATAATAGATAATAGATAATAGATAAGATGAGATAAGAGATAAGATGAGAGATAAGATAAGATAAGAGATAAAATAATAGATAAGATAATAGATAAGATAAGAGAAGATAAGAGATAAGATGAGAGATAAGATGAGAGATAAGATAAGAGATAAGATAAGAGATAAGATAAGAGATAAGATAAGAGATAAGATAAGAGATAAGAGAAGAGATAAGAGAAGATAAGAGAAGATAAGAGATAAGATAAGAGATAAGATAAGAGATAAGATAAGAGATAAGATAAGATAAGATAAGATAAGATAAGATAAGATAAGATAAGATAAGATAAGAGAAGAGATAAGAGATAAGAGAAGATAAGAGAAGATAAGATAAGAGATAAGATAAGTTGAGATAAGAGATAAGATGAGAAGAT